ATTAAGAAATATATAAATAGGACGAATAATATCGTAGTGGCATTAACTAGAATACGGTAGAATACAGTATATACTGTACATATGAAATGAGTAAAACAGTATGTAAACAGTATTAAAGAGACCAGTTTTCCATTATTAAAGGGACCATTGATTCGATGTCTATATACATAGGGCAGCAGCCTCTAAGGTGCAGGGTTGAGTGACCGGGTGGTAGCCGGCTAGTGACTAAGTTCAGTGGAGGGTACTGGGTGGAGGCAGGCTAGTGATGGCTATTTAACAGTCTGATGGCCTTGAGATTGAAGCTGTTTTTCAGTCTCTCTGTCCCAGCTTTGATGCACCTGTACTGACCTCGCCTTCTGGACGATAGCGGGGTGAACAGGCCGTGGCTCGGGTGGTTGATGTCCTTGATTATCTTTTTGGCCTTCCTGTGACATCGGGTGCTGTAGGTGTCCTGGAGGGCAGGCAGTGTGCCTCCGGTGATACGTTGGGCAGACCGCACCATCCTCTGGAGAGCCGTACGGTTGCGGGCGGTGCAGTTGCCGTACCAGGTGGTGATACAGCCCGACAGGCTGCTCTCAATGGTGCAGCTGTAAACGTTTTTGAGGGTCTTAGGGGCCAAGCCAAATTTCTTCAGCCTCCTGAGGTTGAAGAGGCGCTGTTGTGCCTTCTTCACCACACTGTCTGTGTGGGTGGACCATTTCAGATTGTCAGTGATGTGTACGCCGAGGAACTTGAAGCTTTTCACCTAATCCACTGCGGCCCTGTTGATGTGGATGGTGGCGTGCTCCCTCTGCTGTGTCCTGAAGTCGTATGATCAGCTGCTTCGTTTTGTTGACATTGAGGGAGAGGTTATTTACCTGGCACCACTCCGTGCATAATGATGAGCTTGGAGGGTACTATGGTGTTGAAGGCTGAACTGTAGTCAATGAACAGCATTCTTACATAGGTATTCCTCTTGTCCAGATGGAATTAGGCAGTGTGCAGTGTGATGGCGATTGCATCGTCTGTGGATTGCATCGTCTGCCTTCTTTACCACACTGTCTGTGTGGGTGGACCATTTCCCACAGCCACTGTAACTCACAACTCAATCTCTACTGTCGTTTTGCACACTGGTGCCCCCCAACCCCCAACATACCGCACATTACTATGAATAAACTATATGTGAACATGGTACTGGGGACATACTGTATGTGCTCTGCCATTTCAGGCTCTCAGTTGTTGGTGCGTTCAATAATGAACTAACAGACTCTTAAATGCCCTCAAGTGTTCAAATCCTCTCCTTCACTGAAGCTAAAATAATAAATAATATGCCATTTAGCAGACGCTTTTATCCAAAGCGACTTACAGTCATACGTGCATACATTTTTTGTGTATGGGTCGTCCCGGGGATCGAACCCACTACCTTGGCGTTACAAGCGCCGTGCTCTACCAGCTGAGCTACAGAGATAAGAATGTATCACAAACTGTGCTCATAAGATAGTGGTCCCCAACTCTTGTCTTGGATGTTCTGTAACTATAGTTATTTCCTGCTATACAAAGCTGTTTAATGAGACTGGGCCTCTGACCGTCCACCCATCAACTAAATTCAGGCCAACAGTGACAGTGTGATACTGTTAACAAGTCCGTTTCTTATTTGGTACATGCCACTGACCTACTTACACAGACACCAAAAGTTGTAAAAGACTATGAAATACCATTAGAGGTTTGGCCCCAAATGTTGACCCCAAAAAGTGAAATGACAATATTAACCTTCCAGGGCAACCTGTAGATTAAACTGAGCTGGGTGGAGCCTGAGGAAACTTTATCAGCGTGAGATAGGTGTTTGTAAGTGTAGGATATGAGTATACAGTACAAAGTCATTCCCCCCCCCACTCTCTCCCCATTTCTGGGAGATATAACCTCACACTCTAACTCTGTTCCTCTGGTAATGCCTGAGTCCTGGACAGGAAGTCCTTGAAAAGAGCCAGGATATTATCACCTTACCCTTTCTAAGGTAGGACATTATTTCTGAGATCCCTCCTATTTCACCTTCTATTCAAGCCATTATCTCATCCACCTCTCTCTCTCTCTCTCTCTCTCTCTCTCTCTCTCTCTCTCTCTCTCTCTCTCTCTCTCTCTCTCTCTCTCTCTCTCTCTCTCTTTTAAGTTGTCAGATGGCAATCAGTTGGGAGGATGGTTGGGTTTGTGATGCAGACAGGCACTCCTAGGTTTGCCATCATATCACCAAACACCCTATCAATACAAACTCAACAAAAGGTCATTCTGGGTTTGATATCCCAACAGAGCTGTTGTACAGCGCATTCGGAAAGTATTCAGACCCCTTGACTTTTTCCACATTTTATTACTTTACAGCCTTAGTCTAAAATTGATTCAATTGTTTTTTCCCCTCATCAATCTACACACAATACCCCATAATGACAAAGCAAAAACAGGTTTTAGAAATGTTTGCAAATGTATAACAAAAAATACAAAACATAAATATCACATTTACATAAGTATTCAGATCCTTTACTCAGTACTTTGTTGAAGCACCTTTGGCAGTGATTACAGCCTCGAGTCTTCTTCGGTATGATGCTACAAGCTTGGCACACCTGTATTTGGGAAGTTTCTCCCGTTCTTCTTTGCAGATCCTCTCAAGCTCTGTCAGGTTGGATGGGGGTGTCGCTGCACAGCTATTTTCAGGTCTCTCCAGAGATGTTTGATCGGGTTCAAGTCCGGGCTCTGGCTGGGCCACTCAAGGACATTCAGAGACTTGTCCCGAAGACACTCCTGCGTTGTCTTGGCTGTGTGCTTAGGGTCGTTGTCCTGTTAGAAGGTGAACCTTCGCCCCAGTCTGAGGTCCTGAGGTCTCTCTGTGCTTTGCTCCGTTCATTTTTCCCCTCAATCCTGACTAGTCAACCGAGTCCCTGCCGCTGAAAGACATCCCCACAGCATGATGCTGCCATCACCATGTTTCACCTTAGGGATGGTGCCAGTTTTCCTCCAGACGTGATGCTTGGCATTCAGGCCAAATAGTTCAATCTTGGTTTCATCAGACCAGAGAATCTTGTTTCTCATGGTCTGAGAGTCCTTTAGGTGCCTTTTGGCAAACTCCAAGTAGGCTGTCATGTGCCTTTTACTGAGGAGTGGCTTCCATCTGGCCACTCTACCATAAAGGCTTGATTGGTGGAGTGCTGCAGAGATGGTTGTCCTTCTGGAAAGTTCTCCTATCTCCCCAGAGGAACTCTGGAGCTCTGTCAGAGTGGCCATCGGGTTCTTGGTCAAGGCCCTTATCCCCTGATTGCTTAGTTTGGCCGGGTGGCCAGCTCTAGGAAGAGTCTTGGTGGTTCCAAACTTCTTCCATTTAAGAATGATGAAGGACACTGTGTTCTTGGGGACCTTCAATGCTGCAGAAGTGTTTTGGTACCCTTCCCCAGATCTGTGCCTCGACACAATCCTGTCTTCGACCTCATGGCTTGGTTTTTGCTCTGACATGCACTGTCAACTGTGGGACCTTATATAGACAGCTGTGTGCCTTTCCAAATCATCTCCAATCACTTGAATTTACCACAGGTGGACTCCAATCAAGTTGTAGAAACATCTCAAGGATGATCAATGGAAACAGGATGCACCTGAGCTCAATTTTGAGTCTCATAGCAAAGGGTCTGAATACTTATGTAAATAAGGTTTTTCTGTTTTATAAATTTGCAAACATTTCTAAAAACCTGTTTTTACTTCCTCATTATGGGGTATTGTGTGTAGATTGATGATATATATATCTATATTTTTTTATCCATTTTAGAATAAGGTTGGAACGTAACAAAATGTGGAAAAGTCAAGGGGTCTGAATACTTTCCAAATGCACTGTATAAACAAGATGATACTCCAAGATGGGTCACCGTTGGGAGAGGAGCTAATATATAATTGTAACTCGGCTGATAAGAGGATACATTTGAAAAACTACACTAGCTACTGACAATGTAACTTCTGAGACATTTTCATTAATTGACAAGGCCAACGACAAGGACTGTTTACAAGATTGATTGTTTTCCAAATACAGTATCATGAAGTGCTGTGGAACTGCAAAGTAACCCCTTAGCAATAATATAATATAATTATGTATAGAATTTTGATAGAATTGTGTTGTGTTTGTTGAAAGCATGATATCCAGCAGATGTTCTTTTAATCTTAATCTTCAGCCCTATGCTGTCTGTCTACCCGCTGTCTACTGTTTTGTGGAGTCTAAAATACTTGTATTAATGTTTATGATGAGTCTCACTGCTATATTTATTTTACCTGTTACATTCCCTTTGAGGGATGTTTGGTAACCCTTTAATTGGATAGTCCCAAGTAAATGGTTCAGTAGATGTTCAGTAAATGGTTCAGTAGATGTTCAGTAGATGGTTCAGTAGATGGTCAGTAGCTGGTTCAGTAGATGTTCAGTACATGTTCAGTAGATGGTTCGGTACATGTTCAGTAGACGTTCAGTAAATGCTCAGTAGATGTCCAATAATGTTTCTGTTATGACATCTTTATCATAAGGAAACTATGGCAACTATGGGTGCTTAGGGAGGTGTTCTAATGATTTGCCTTAATGTAAACAGTTATGTGTAATAATAATATATGGCTGTGGCTCAGTTGGTAGAGCATGGTGCTTTCAAAGCCAGGGTTGTGGGTTAGATACCCATGGGGGCCAGTATGAAAGTGTATGAAGTCGCTCTGGATCAGAGCATCTTCTAAATGACTGTAATGTAAATGTTCCTAGATGGAGTAGAGAACCAGTAGAACAGGGATGAGCCATATTGCATCTCTGCCCTGTGTTGAATCCTAGGGGCCATTAACTTCTCCTACTCAGCCTCCTCTCATTCCCTCCACCTCACAATATCTCTCCTCCTCTCTAAATGCTGCCCCTTTCCTCCCTTGTCTAACCTCCTCCTCTTCTCTCTCCCCCACTCACTCCTTGTTTCTCCTACACTCTGTACATCCATTTTGCACATGATTATGCTCAGCCACAGAATGGGATGGAGGTGCTATTTTTAGCCGGCTACGGAGGAGAGGGAGAGCAGGGAGGTGAGAGAGAAAAGGTTTTCGTGCTGGAGCTAGAGCTGGAGAGACATTGGAGATGACCAGTTGGTTGGAGGCAGCTTGGCTAGAGGCGGAGAAAGGGATGAGAGGAGGCAACTGAGACGAGCGAACGACACCACCTGAAAGACAGATAAGACACAGGTAAGAAGCTCTGCTACATTCTACACAGAACAGGCAAAGCCAGACACCTGGACTGATAGCTATACAAATAGATGGTACGTGCCCTGAGGAAATTAAATGGTTATATCAGAGCATGCATGGCCAAGCAATAACTACACTGGCTTCTTCTGTTAAAATAGATGCACTGATGCTCTATGGATTTTTTAAAAGATACGCTTAAAATGTCATTAATTCAAGTATGTGGGATGTGTAAAGCAGATTTACGTCAATACTTGTTTTTAAGATTCTGCATAAAATGAATATATTTTTAGGATGGGAGATGAGGTTATGTAATAGGGATTTGGTTTGTTATGCACTCAGTCCCCATGCCTCATGTAGGTTAGTAACACTGGATGGCTGTTCATTTGCCAGTCTGTCTTCTACACCACTGTTCCTGAGACATAATGGGTTGTTCCTGAGACAACATTGGGAGGATAGGGAGGGAGAGGGCATAATGGGTTGTTTACACGGTGTCCTAAAATGGAGAGCTGTGCCATGTTGCCCTCAAAAAAACAAAAGGAAAGGTGGTAGCGTAAGCCCATTCAAAGTTATTTAAAAAAAATGTTTGTTCTTACATATTTATATGTATGTGGGAATATATTTTCGTTGTTAGGTGGGTGGATGTTGTGTGTGTGTGTGTGTGGGGGGGGGGGGGTTACCATGGAGACAGGCTTAGCACATCTTCCTGTGAACGATTGCACATACGCACTTTCAAAACGCATGTTACACTTTGCCTGTATTTCAATTTTGCCTCTATTCAATTAACTAGATGCTAATTGATCATTCATGCCATAATTATCATGGCAATGTTTACATTTTACACAATCCAAGCTTTGCAAAAACAAAATCTCTCAGTCATTCAGAGGCTCTTCCCAGAGACTGACCTGACCACCCTTTCTCTCCCTCCCAGGCATGCGTCCCCGCTCCAGACTCCTGGCTAAGAGGGGCCTGCCCACAATCAGGGAGGGATATGAGGAGCTAGTCCAGGACATGAACCAGGCCAACAGCCTCCACCTCCCTCCCCATGGCCAGGTCCACTCCTCTCTGTCTACCCAGGACTACTTCCTGTCCATCTGTCAGCTTGCCCGCCCAACCTTCCCCCTGGCCCAACCCGACTGTGACATCCTCACTGTGGGCTCGCTGGCCTCCCTGAGGCCCTGTCTGAGGCTGCACAGACTGAGGGACCCTGTGCCACCCTGTCAGCCTCTGATCTCCAAGGTCAGCCACCACACACAGTTAGAGCAGGAGGAGAGTCAGGGTGAGTGTAGTGGCCCAGAGAGAGTGGTGGATGTCAGCTCAGGTCAGACCTCCAGTAGGGTTGACCCCAGTGTCTCTGACCCCCTGGAGTTCCTCTACGGTCATGGGGAGGCACTCCTCTCAGCCGCCTGTCGCGCCCCTGACTCACAGGGCTGTCAGGGTAAGGGGAGAGAGAGTGTGACCCAGCGTCGACCACAACCCCCGCTACGTGCTGACAGCTTCCCACGCATGTGTTCCTCGCCCCTGACCCAGCGCAAAGGCAGCTGCCCTGAGCTCTGCCTGATGGACCCCACTGACCAAGAGAAGCCAAACCCTGACCCTGCTCCACCACAGACATCTTTATCAGACCAGCAGAAACCTGACGCCTCCAGCCCACTCTCCTGGAGGTTCCAGAACGACTCAGACAGGGCCCCTGCTGGTGGAAGGGGGAAGTGCACTCGCTACATTGACAAACACACAATGGTATCACACTGGATCGCTGACTGTCGCTCGGCCTGGAGAGAAGCCAGAGCCAGGGCGTGCATGCTTCCTGCCATCGCGGAGATGTAGACACATAGATCAGGTATAACCCTGTTAAGCCCTGCTGAGTATTGTACATAATGGATCCTTGATGTACTATGCGTCCCGCTTGATTGGTACGTTTGGACGATGCATTGAGTTTTCATGCCTGACCTTTTTGTAGTTTAAGACATATTGTAGACTAGCGTATGCCTCACACATATCACAGTAGGTGGACTGTTGATAATGCCCATAGAGGACATCAGTGTTAGAGTAGCCTCTTGAATCCAGGCTTCTTACAGTAGTTGAATGAGACAGGATTTTGGAAGACTAGTATTAGGGTGAATAAAGATATGTGGAAAAGATGCTGAATTTGTAAAACGATTATGTACAAAGACCTATGATTAAGAAACATGACAGATCATAATCTTTCCTGTGTAGCGAGTGAGTTCTTTACTAATGATAACTCTGGTCAAATCCCATTGGCAGCTAAAACAGCAAAACATTCTACTTTGAGTGTTTCATAACAAGTGGAATGGGACAGTGTTAGAATCAGAACTGAAGAAGATGTGATCCTATAGCTAGTTCAGGCTCCCTACAGCAGAGCATTTAAACTCAGATTATTCCTAGTGATTCTGAAAACGTCTCTTGTGATTTCCTTTCCCCTGTCTGATGTATGAGTTATGCAATGACAATGTAGGTGTGTGCAAAAATGATCAGTCCATTTCAATCTTCCGCTTAGTAAAGCCATGATGAAATAGTACAGATATTTTCAATCATATCATGGAATTCCCACTGAGTGAAACAGCATGTGAGATTGTTGTATTTGACTTTTTGATTGCGTGTTCTAATGGTCCTCCATGTCGGTACAATGTCTGTCAACAAAACATCAATGGAAAGACAACAATATCCTCCTTGACTTGTAAATGTTTGAGAATTCAATCATTTGATAATGTATAGTATGGCTTTTGTACATCTGTCCATTGTTGGCCTGTAATCTAATAAATTATGTGTTTTACCCTGCCTGTGATTGTCAATCAATATGCTCCAAAACATAGACCTGTTGCACTAGGAGATACAGTTGATGCCAAATATATTGCCACCCCTTGTACGTTTCTTAAATAATTCTTTATTTCTTCCTAAAAGAAGTTGAAATTTGTTATTGGATTGTAAACATTGCAACAACAAAAAATGCTTTTGGGGGAAACGTAAGTTTTCAATGTTAATTAAGAACATTAAAACAAATGGCAAAGACAAAATTATTGGCGCAAAGGACAAAATTATTGGCACCAAGGAGCTAATACTTGATTTAACAGTCATTAGCGACGATTAACTTGCTGCACCTTTCTACTGGCAATTTGGCCCACTCTTCAGCTGCAAACTGTTTCTTCAATGTTGAGTGGGGCCTTCCACTAGCTGCTGTTTTCAGATCTCGCCGTAGGTTTATGATGGGATTCAGATCTGGACTCATCGCTGGCCACATCGCTTTTAGATGTGTGTTTGGGTTGTTGTCCTGCTGGAAGACCCACAAACTTCAACACAGACACAGATTTTGCACACTGGATTGAAAATCGCACTCCAAAACACCTTGATCATCTGCTGATTTCATAATGTCTTGCACACGTTTAAGGCCCCAATACCAGAGGCAGGAAAGCAACCCCAAAGCATTATCAAACCTCCCCCAGGTTTGATTGTAGGGAGGGTGTTGTTTTCTTTGAATGCTTATTGTGCTTCTAGCGTTATACTGCAAGATAAATGAGTTATCCTAAACCCTTCTGTGATGGGGAGATAATAAAACGGAAGTAATCTTTCTGGATACCATAAAGTCCTGTCTAGTATCTTCATAATGGGTGGCAGTCCTGTCCAGTATCTTCATAATGGGTGGCAGTCCTGTCTAGTGTCTTCATAATGGGTGGCAGTCCTGTCCAGGGTCTTCATAATGGGTGGCAGTCCTGTCTAGTATCTTCATAATGGGTGGCAGTCCTGTCCAGGGTCTTCATAATGGGTGGCAGTCCTGTCTAGTGTCTTCATAATGGGTGGCATTCCTGTCCAGTATCTTCATAATGGGTGGCAGTCCTGTCCAGTATCTTCATTATGGGTGGCAGTCCTGTCCAGAGTCTTCATAATGGGTGGTAGTCCTGTCCAGTATCTTCATTATGGGTGGCAGTCCTGTCCAGTATCTTCATAATGGGTGGCAGTCCTGTCCAGTATCTTCATAATGGGTGGTAGTCCTGTCCAGTATCTTCATAATGGGTGGCAGTCCTGTCCAGTATCTTCATAATGGGTGGCAGTCCTGTCCAGTATCTTCATAATGGGTGGTAGTCCTGTCCAGTATCTTCATAATGGGTGGTAGTCCTGTCCAGTATCTTCATAATGGGTGGTAGTCCTGTCCAGTATCTTCAGTGAGATTTATAGCATGGTGTCTCCCGAGTGGCGCAGTGGTCTAAGGCACTGCATCGCAGTGCTAGCTGTGCCACTAGAGATCCTGGTTCGTATCCAGGCTCTGTCGCAGCCAGCCGCGACCGGGAGACCCATGGGGCGGCACACAATTGGCCCATCGTCATCCAGGATAGGGGAGGGAATGGCCGGCAGGGATGTAGCTCAGTTGGTAGAGCATGGCGTTTGCAACGCCAAGGTTGTGTGTTCGATTCTCACGAGGGGCCAGTATATAAAAATAAAATAATGTATGCACTCACTAACTGTAAGTCGCTCTGGATAAGAGCGTCTGCTAAATGACTAAATTGTAATGTAAATGTTATTTATATAGAAAAGTAATTAGATTACAATGTATATAAATCGGAGTTTCAAGACCTTGTATATGCAAGCCTTGTTATGGACATTGCTATCTGAACAACAACGGTATCAGTCCAACGGTAGATGTGTGCAAACATGTCACACAGTGCCCCCCAGTGACAGGAGTCAGGACATAAGAATCAAATTAAATTAAATTGTATTTGTCACATGCGTCGAATACAGCAGACCGTGTAGATCTTACAGTCCGCTGGGGTGGTTCTATTGTCGCGAGACTACACAAAACCACTGTGCGGAATTTCCTCTGTTCAGCTTCACATAGGGAACTGGATATCATGGCCGAGATGTGTCTTCGTTGTTCTGTAACCTTTCCCATTGACATTGTAAGGTTACGACAGTATTCATCTTTACCGTGTCTATTGTAAGCGGCGTGGGACATTTTTATCTGGTAAGTTTAAACTAAATTTTACGTGTTAGATCGTGTTTTTCATTCTATCATCACCATTACCCAGGCATCATGATCGCTCGCTAGCTAGCTGGGAATTGTCAACCCCACGAATTTGAGAATTCTCAGCTACTCACTAGCTTGCTGTCTGCTTCGTATAATGCAATTGAAAGTGTATATTGTTGTATTCAGGCTTTACAAGCAGTTTTTGGTCGCTCAGAACCGCTAATCAATTCCACTCGCTGTGTCAATTATCACCGGTCTACGCCGTCTGACACGTAAATCGATAAGAAATGTAATGGTGTGCCATATTCACAAGTGGAAACCTAGTCAGTTGCACAACTGAATGCATTCAACCGAAATGTGTCTTCCGCATTTAACCCAATCAGAGAGGCTGCCTTAATCGACATTTTGAACGGCGCCCGGGGAGCAGTTGTTGGGGGGGATTAACTGCCTTGCTCAAGGGCAGAACGGTAGAACCTTGCCGGCTCGGGGATTCGAACAAGCAACCTTTCAGTTTCTGTCCCAACTCTCTAACCGCTAGGCTACCTGCCACACAGAACTATACAGCCATATACTGTGCTGTTCTGATGATGTAGGCTATTATCTGTTCTAGTTTAGAGCTGTTGTTCTGAACATGGCCTCAGCCACAGACCACCTGACTGGCATTTCCTCTGCTTATTGCTCTATTTTGGTTCCTTTCCAGGCCTGTACTCCTATGCCTGTCCCACAATGCTTTGTCAGTGGGCCTCAATGTCTGAGAGTGAGCCAGATAAACCCAGCATATTTTAGTGGTCATTAACTTCATTCAGCTCTACCCCCCCCCCATTTTAGCGGACCTCCTTCTACACATTTTTGCCATGGCGCCATGTATAGAGAAGATCTTGCAATTTCATAACTAATTTCATGCAATTCTACTCATTTTGGCATTGGGCAGAGATAAATATTTGCAGTTTTACAGCTAATATCCTGCAATCCCACATATTTTGCCATAAGGGGGAAGTTGATCATCGGGCCTAAAGGGGGTTGGACCGCCAGTTGCCCATCTCTGCTCTATAGAATCGAACACAGCCTACAGTTCAGGTCGTGTTCTGCAGTGAAGATTTTGGCCTCCCTGGCACATTTGTCCAGACTGCTTTCTCAAATAGCACGAGAGAATAGAGCACTAAAACAGAACACAACACCATATCAGCTGCCAAGTAGCGAAACATTGACTCACCCCAGCGGCACAATGCTTTCAATAAATCATCTGTTACTCTTGTTTTGACTAAGGTTGCTTGCTGTCATTGGCCACTGACTCAAGCATGCACCTGGAAGTTTTCCCATGATCATCTGATATTAGTTCTCTGAAATGAGCATGTATACTGTACATTTTAATTACAAATAAAATAGGTTGTTCTGTGTTGTCGAAATCCGATATTCAACATATTCTCTTCCTCCCCTGAAGGTCCAGTCCAATCTTTCCAGTCAGGTTGGATTAATCTGAACATTACCCCATTGTCAGCCGTAACAGAGACGGCCTTCTGCAACAATGTCCAGGTCAGGAGATATACCAGGTAAGGCTGGGGGGCAGTGAGAGTGGGCATTATAGTGTTGTGTACTTGTTTTAAATGGTGATGGTATATGTAAACATGTGCTTCCAACACATATAACTCATATTTTCATGTATTTTGAGTCCATTTTGGGTGATTTTAGAGTTTTAATGCTTGTTTTAAGACTAATGCTTCAACATTCCCCCCTCAGCTCTGGAGTCTGGGACCTCAGAGGAGCTCCTGGGAGGCATGTCCCTACCCATTGGCATGACCCGCCGTGCCATGAACTATGATGACAACATGGAGGCGCCTATGTCGCCGCCTCCCTCTGACATCAACATCAACAACCTGTGGGCAAGGAAGCCCGTCATCCCAGCCAGGAGGTTCCGTCATCAGGCTGAGGTAGATATCACACTCTTCCACTGCTCTCCAGCCTCACAGTTCAGATGGTGCTGTGTCCGTCCATCAGGGAAGGCTGCTGAGGGGATGACAGCTCATAATAATGGGTGGAACAGAGCAAATGGAATGGTATTAAACACATGGTGTTAGATGTATTTGTTACCATTCTACCTATTCTGCTCCGGCCATTACCACGAGCCCGTTCTCCCCAATTAAGGTGCCACCAAACCTCCTGTGCCGTCAGTATTCATAAAGCGTCTTGGAGTCCCCCCATCTATGTAATCTTATTCATTATGATCTAAAAGGCAAAACTGATCCTAGATCAGCCCTCATACTCTGACACGCTTTATGGATATACAGTATTTACATAATATCACATTTACATAAGTATTCAGACCCTTTACTCAGTACTTTGTTGAAGCACCTTTGGCAGCGATTACAGCCTCAAGTCTCCTTGGGTATGACGCTACAAGCTTGGCACACCTGTATTTGGGGAGTTTCTCCCATTCTTCTCTGCAGATCCTCTCAAGCTCTGTCAGGTTGGATGGGGAGCATCGCTGCACAGCTATTTTCAGGTCTCTTCAGAGATGTTCGATCGGGTTCAAGTCCGGGCTCTGGCTGGGCCACTCAAGGACATTCAGAGACTTGTCTCGAAGCCACTCCTGCGTTGTCTTGGCTGTGTGCTTAGGGTCGTTGTCCTGTTGTAGGCCTGATCACAGACAACGATGAGACAGCCTATAGGGAGGAGGTCAGAGACCTGGCCATGTGGTGCCAGGATAACAACCTCTCCCTCAACGTGACCAAGACAAAGGAGATGATTGTGGACTACAGGAAAAAAAAGAGGACTGAGCACGCCCCCATTCTCATCGACGGGGCTGTAGTGGAACAGGTTGAGAGTTTCAAGTTCCTTGGTGTCCACATCACCAACTAACTATCATGGTCCAAACACATCAAGACAGTCGTGAAGAGGGCACGACAAAGCCTATTCCCCCTCAGGAGACTGAAAAGATTTGGCATGGGTCCTCAGATCCTCAAAAAATTATACAGCTGCACCATCGAGAGCATCCTGACTGGTTGCATCACCGCCTGGTATGGCAACTGCTTGGCCTCCGACCGTAAGGCACTACAGAGGGTAGTGCGTACGGCCCAGTACATCACTGGGGCCAAGCTTCCTGCCATCCAGGACCTCTATACCAGACGGTGTCAGAGGAAGGCCCTCAAAATTGTCAAAGACTCCAGCCACCCTAGTCATAGACTGTTCTCTCTGCTACCGCACGGCAAGCGGTACCGGAGTGCCAAGTCTAGGTCCAAAAGACTTCTCAACAGCTTCTACCCCCAAGCCATAAGACTCTTAAACAGCTAATCATGGCTACCCGGACTATTTGCACTGCCCCCCCCCCCCACCCCCACCAAGGACTGCAACTTTGCTGGGTTTTTCACGCTCAACAGTTTCCCGTGGGTATCAAGAATGGTCCACCACTCAAAGGACATCCAGCCAACTGTGGGTAGCATTGGAGTCAACATGGGCCAGCGTCCCTGTGAAATGCTTTTGACACCTTGTAGAGTCCATGCCCCGACAATTTGAGGCTGTTCTGAGAGCAAAAGTGGGGGAGTGCAGTGATCCATTGGTGTGTTTATTTGTTTATTTCTTGTTTTAAAGGAGGATGAATCTGGAAATGCCCTGACCCACGCTGCCACTTTTGACCCTGGCCACAGGCGACATATGCCAGTCGTGGTGAAGGCCAAAGCCTCCTCCATCATCATCAACTCTCTGATGACCAGTAAGACTACCGTGATCATGAATGATGGTTACTATGTTATTTGAGTGTATTAACCTCAGCATGACCTCTTCAAATCCTGCTGCTCATTAATGGAACACTGATTAGCTTTTATTTTAATTGTAATTAAGCTCGTATTGGGAAATGCTAGGCTGTCTGTCTCCTCAGCGGAGAAACACGTCCTCCTTTATTTAATACAGTATGTTGTCTGTTTTTCCAGAGCAAACCCAGGACAGCATGTACAGGTTTGAGCAGCAGGCTGGGCTGAGAGACACTGGCTACACGCCCCATAAGGGCCTCACTGCTGAGGAGACCCGCCACCACCACCGCATGCCTGACTCATTCCATGTGAGTCTTTTATTATCAGGGAGTCAGATAATTATGAACAGAAAAATATACATCATATTTTTATTAACTGTATTTTCCTCGATGATTGGTTTGATAAAGCATCAACAAAGTGAAATCAATGAATGCTCAAATGCTCAGTTAACAATCTATGTCAAAGAGGAGTGATTCATGATATTTTACTGTTAATAATATTCATCACACCATGTTTATTTTTTCCTTGTTGTATTGCCTGTAGAAAATGAACGTTCAAAGTGTGGACATGGGAGCAGGACATAAGGAAGGACATGAGGACAAGCAAACATCATCTGCTCAGTCCACCCCAAATAGCACTCCTCAGAGCTCACCCAAACAGAACCGCAGGTAAGTGCAACCATGTCCTCATTACCAGCTGTTAATGCAAACATGCTGTACTTTGACCCAGGACACCAAATGCATGTGCCCTTACCCACCTTATCTATATGAGCATGGGTGTATTGTTTGTTCAGCTGTGACTGTGAAGTGGTTGACTCTGGTTTTTCTCTGTGTTCCTGGCAGGGGCTGGTTGACCAGCCAGAGTTCGACGGCGTCTGTCAGTAGCTCAGACCTCAGTACCAGCTCTAACACCAGTGTGGACATGGGTGCTGGTGAGGGGGGAGGAGCAGTCGAACGCTGGGGTATCTTTGGACCACGTCCAGTTGTTCAGAAATCCACTACCGACCCAGGTCCTGACCACATGATAAATGGGTTTTGGGGAGGGTGATATTTTACATGTTTTCATTTTGGTTCCTCTAAACTGTAATCCTGTTGATAGATTGGCTCAATGTTCTTTGATGTGAATTACACATGAATAAGATTGTTTTTACATGGTCGTGTACTAGATCAGTACACTTGATTTTTCCTTGTGTATCAGACATCCTTATTTATAGTGAATTTATGCATTTAACAAATTATTATTTTATGAGGTGTTCATAGAGTCAAGGTTGAGTTTCAGTCATATTGTCATTGTCCTCCTATCTAAGACCAGTCCCGTGTTTTCTCTCCAGGGGGTTTTGCTCTCCAGTCGTACCGCGGGGCCCAGAAGCCAACCCCCATGGAGGTGATGAAGGCCCAGGCCACTCGGCTGGCTCATGACCCTGCTGTTAACCAACAGGCCCCTCCCAAGATGGAGATCCCCACCACGGAGGGCAGTAGACCATCAGCACGGCCGCACAAACTCAAACCTCGAGACATTAATATCCTCACACCCTCAGGTTTCTGAGATGTACCATGTTGTCACTTACTCTTTCATGTTGTAGCTGGTCTACCCTCTAGTCCAGGGCTCTCCAACCCTGTTCCTGGAGAGCTACGTTCCTGTAGGTTTTCACTCCAACCCTAGTTGTATCTAACCTGATTCAGCTTAACAACCAGCTAATTATTAGAATCAGGATGGTAGCTCTCCAGGAACAGGGTTGGAGAGCCCTGGTCTAGTCTATTCCCTCCCCACTTCTATTAGTTGACACCCTTGTTTTGCCTCAGCCTTTTGCCTTTAAGAGAATCGTGTATTTTTACTTTGTATGTATGTATGTAGGGTCCGACTGTGAAGATGTTCTGATACATGATGGTGTGCAACGTGTAACTCTCACTGTTTGACAGAGTCTGTAAAAGCCACACTGTGTTCATGGTTTGATCAATCAGTTGGCTTGTGAATCAGCATGTACTTTGTGTGCAGATTTCTGTAAGATGTAATGATTCACATTTGTCATGTCTCCAAGAACATTGTGGTGATTATTGTTCACCCTCGAGGAAGTGTGGTTTTTTTGTGTATCCGCATTCCTCCTGTCAAGTCGACCGTTTTGGAGTTGAAACACTCAGTAACTGCTCAGGCACTAAAACACTGCCCGAGTGGCGCAGTGGTCTAAGGCACTGCATCGCAGTGCTAACTGTGCCACTAGAGATCCTGGTTCAAATCCAGGCTCTGTCGCAGCCGGCCGCGACCGGGAGACTCATGGGCGGCGCACAATTGGCCCAGCGTCGTCCAGGGTAGGGGAGGGAATGGCTGGCAGGGATGTAGCTCAGTTGATAGAGCATGGCGTTTGCAACGCCAGGGTTGTGGGTTCGATTCCCACGGGGGGGCCAGTATAAAAAAACAAACATGTATTCACTAACTGTAAGTCGCTCTGGATAAGAGTGTCTGCTAAATGACTTAAATGTAAATGACATGTTGCATATTAATCAGAGAACTATGTTATTATCTGACTGACCCTGTTCAGGTGTTTTCAAATTTTTTTTATAGAACAAAATCCATATATACGTCTTCTGTAGTCTTCGTTGTAAATATCTGATTAAAAAACAATGCTAACAACAAAGTCTGGTTCAATCTTCCAGAATTTGACTGATCCATCAACCTTCCAGAAACAGTGGAAAGATAGTCAGCACTGCAGAGGTCAAAGAACCCGGCGGGGAAGAATGGATTTTCATTGTGATTTAGAAATGTAACTGTTGGTAAATTTCATAACCGTACCCAGGGCAAGATCAGTTACTGATTGACAGGAATAGAAATCTGCAACTCTTGCACCTGATATGAGGTGATGGTCACGTCTTCAGCAGATACTAAGGATCACCAGTAGATGGCATCACCCTCTTTGTAACACCATCTGCACTGTGGCTGGACAACTCACGGGCTGCAATGCTGGGATTTCATTTAACCTTGTCCGTTATTGCTATGTTAGCCTATATGGATGCTCCTGACTGATATACTGCACTGTGAGATTCACTTACGTTTACTACTTGTTAATGAAGCCGGTGAATATCGATAGCTCAGTTCATGTAAAACATATAGGCATAAACAGAGCCAGTCAGCTGATATCCTCCCCAATGCTTTAACATAATGGGTTTCCTCAGTCCCCCACTGCTTCATTCAAAGCCCCCCCGTCTCATTGCCACAGGCACAGCCCATGCTTTCCAGTAATCATCCCCCCCCGCCCCCACCAAATCTCTCCCAGAGTGACAGCATAGCATGTCATTTCCTACACCTACGTGGTGGTCCCTATGGGATGTCTGGTGTTAATCTGGAGACAGCGGTCCACCCTCGCCTTGGCCTGGCACCCAGCCAGTGACTGAGCACTCTGCTCTCTGACTCAGTTTGTTATGGAGCAAAAGCTCTGTGGGCCACACCAAGAGAAATGGGGGAGAAGCCGAGCACAGTAAAAGTTACACGAAGGGACTCTTGCCCTCACACATGACGCTTCTTTCTTGACGCAACAAGTCACATTTTTCTATTGACTGTCACTTGGATTCAAAGGCTTTTATGATGCGGTGGCTATTATCTTTATCTTCAAATATCTATTCTAGACCACCCACTCTAGTACAGTGTTAAGCAATAGTTGTAATTGTAAGTTTAGATGTGTTTTGGTAGTCCACGTCAGCTCACCACTGAGATAGTTGATGGAATACTCTGAAATCACCATGGGAACATTCATCGGAAGGGTTTCCCATTCATAATAATAATAATATAATATGCTCTTTAGCAGCTTTTATCCAAAGGACTTACAGTCATGTTTCATTCGTATATTTATTGTCAGTGATGAAATTACTTTATCAAATACAATATAAATACACACACGCAAGCGCGCACACTCAACAACACACACACAACAATACACAACACACACACACACACATAAAGATGAACACATGTACAGGGTCTACTCACAGACACAGCATGAGTTTGTCTAGCTGGCCACACCATCCCACACAGACGTGTCAACAAGGGGCAGAGGTCCTCTTTTGCATGACTACTGAGGACAGGGGTGTGTCCCCTGGACTAGGGTGGGGAGCCGTGTGCAAAATCAGACAATGACAACTCTATGCTATATCCTCCTGGACCACATTAAAATGTTTTTGGAAAATAAAATCTGTGTCAATGCCTGAAGCTTGCAACACACGGATGACTATGCATTACCACGAAACTCATGAAACATTTAAAGACCATTAGAATAATGTCTACCACAGGGAAGGTCAGGGGTTTGAAAATAAATAAAACGATCAATTAAAAACAAATGGTCCATCCTTGAAAGCTATGTATCGTTTTCTCTGAGTAAATGAGGAAGAAACAAAAGATAAATATTGCAGTATTGTTGTGCTTTGATGTCCTAAACTCTGTGGCACATCCATCATCCCATCATTTGTCTAAAGTATCCTGTATCCTGTGTGTGTGGTTTGGGTTTACTATCCTTGTGGGGACCAGAAGTCTTCACAAGGATAGTAAAACAAAGAAAATTCATTTTGCTGGTCCCCACAAGGAAAAGGGCTATTTTAGGCTTATGGGTTAGGTTTAGGGTTAGAATTAAGGTTAGGGTTAAGGGTTAGATTTAGTTTCAGGTTTAGTGTTCGGGGTTAAGATTAGGGTTAAGTTAAGGGTTAGGGTTAGGGGTTAGGGAAAATAGGATTTTGAATGGGAATACATTTTTCGGTCCCCACAAGGATAGTAAAACTAACGTGTGTTTGTGTGTGTGTACTTGTTTTCCTACATAATCAGGAACCCAATGTCCTCACATTTCACCCGAATGTCGTGAAAAGTTAGGAAAACAATAACTTTTTTGAAATTTTAATGGTCATACATGTTTACCCTCCAGATAGTCCAGAAATGTCACGAAAACTGAGTGTCCAATTGGATGTTTTGGTGCCTATAGGGCAATTCAGACCTTATTACTGATGAATGTGTTTGTTTTCTATGATTGTGTTTTGTATTTCTGTTTTGCATTGCATATTTGTATTTGATGGGTATATTTTTGTAATTAGAAGGCTCATCTGTAAAATAGACCTTTGTCTCAGCATGACTCCTTGTCAAAATAAAGCTTAAAGTGGCAATATGTAACTTTTTGGGTGACCCAAATTCACATGGACTTGTGAGTTATAGATCTATCATTCTACTTGAAAGCAAGTCTAAGAAGTGGTATATCTGTTCTATGTGCACTATTTCTATGCTTCCCGTTATTACGTTTTGTTTTTGTGTCTTTTACTTTTGGTTTTGTACACCAGCTTCAAACAGCTGAAAATACAATATTTTTGGTTATGGAAAATATATTTTACAGTGGCTTAGATGGTACAATGATTCTCTACACTATACTATTTTATTTTGTCACATAAACTGAAATTAGGCGAACTATTAAGAGTTTTAGCAACCAGAAAATGGCAGAGTGATTTCTGCATAGTGCATCTTTAAGTAATGGATTTCTCCCTGACCAATATGGCTGCCATTTTCACCCCATTCTGGAACTTTGAGGTTTGATGACATGGTCTCTCTAGTAATTGAATAGGATCTGCATTCAAACAATGCAGACAATTCACAGCCATAGATGCAGTAAAAGAGTCAATGGAACCATCCACCCCCAAACCCCCTAAACAAGTTGTCAAGGAAACAGGGGGCGGGGTACTGGGTTCCTATACGCCCTTGCTTTAAAAGTTCTCTGAATATCTTCTTCCACCACATCCAAGACAGTTTTCACTTGAAAGACTACGGTATTCTGTTGGACCATGTGTGGTAAGGCACATATTTACTATTTCGTGACTATTATGATTATTAGCTAGCTAACGTTAACTTCGTAGCACATAGCAGTAGCTAGCACAGCTGGCTAGCTCGCAGAGGGTCGGGCTAGATGCGAAACAGTTTAGGTCAATTTGACGTCTAAAGTTCTTTCTTTTATTATTTTATTTTATCTAACCCTAACCCTTTTCCTAACCTTAACCTAATTCTTATAACCTGCTACGTTAATTATCCTAACCTGCTGCGTAAATTCTCCTAACCTGATATGAAAAGTAAATTATGATCAATTCTGACGTAAACTGTATCTATTCAAAACCCTAGCGGAGTATTTTATTTCATTTTTGTCATTTAGCAGACGCTCTTATCCAGAGCGATTTTTAGGAGCAATTAGGGTTAAGTGCCTTGCTCAATGGCACATCGACAGATTTTTCACCTAGTCGGCTCAAGGATTAGAACCAGCGACCTTTCGGTTACTGGCAACGCTCTTAACCACTAAGCTACCTGCCGACATTCTCTTCAGGATACAGACCGTGGTCACATTACGCCCATGACCTCATAACGTATATAATAGGTCTTTATCATTTTACTGCCATTAAAATGCATATTCATTGATATTTGTGTAAGTTTCTGCATGCATTTGCATTACTGGCCTAGCTATGTAGTTTTATGTCATACTAACCTTTACATTTCTAACCTCAACATTACTAACTAATAATTTGCTAATTCACTAATTACTGTTTGGCTATTGAAAGTTAAAAAATACAGCTTGGCATCCCGTATGTAAACTCTTAAGACCACATCTGGACTGCTCTGTTAAACTCAGAGCTGACCTAAAGACGCGCTGGTAAAGACCTGGGACTCTGAAAGGATGAAACAGCTGCAGTCAAACTGCTCCAGGCGTGGGAAATACAGTGAGCTCCAAAAGTATTGGGACACTGACACATTTTCTGTTGATTTGGCTCTGTACTCCAGCACTTTGGATTTGAAATGATTAATTTTTTATCCATATAGGGTGAACGATTTCCAAATTACTGCACTTTTTGTACATTGGCCCCCCATTTTAGGGGACCAAAAGTATTGGGACAAATTCATTTATACTGTATGTGTATTAAAGTAGTCAAAATATTAGTATTTGGTCCCATATTCCTAGCACATTATGATTACATCAAGCTTGTGACTCTACAAACTTGTTGGATACATTTGCTGTTTGTTTTGGTTGTGTTTCAGATTATTTTGTGCCCAATAGAAATGAATGGTAAATAATGTGGATGCTACCATGATTACGGATAATCCTGAATTAATCGTGAATAATGATGAGTGAGAAAGTTAGACGCACAAATATCATACCCCAAGACATAATCTCTCACCATTACAATAACAGGGGAGGTTAGCATTTTTTGGGGGGGATGATATTTGTGCATCTAACTTTCTCACACATCATTATTCACAATTCATTCAGGATTATCCATAATCATGGTAGCATCCACATGAATATAGAAGTGTTTAGAAACATATTATATTCTTAATCACAATAAAAGTGACTCCAATGACACAATACGTTATTTACCATTCATTTCTATTAGACACAAAATAATCTGAAACAACTAAAAACTACGTTTTTTAATTTTTTTAATTTCACCTTTATTTAACCAGGTAAGCCAGTTGAGAACAAGTTCTCATTTACAACTGCGGCCTGGCCAAGATAAAGCAAAGCAGTGCGATAAAAACAACAACACAGAGTTACATATGGGGAAAACAAAACATAAAGCCAAAAATACCACAGAAAATATATATACAGTGTGTGCAAATGTAGTAAATTATGGAGGTAAGGCAATAAATAGGCCATAGTGCAAAATAATTACAATTAGTATTAACACTGGAATGATAGATGTGCAAGAGATGATGTGCAAATAGAGATACTGGGGTACAAATGATCAAAATAAATAACAATATGGGGATGAGGTAGTTGAGTGTGCTAATTTCAGAAGGGCTGTGTACAGGTGCAGTGATCGGTAAGGTGCTCTGACAACTGATGCTTAAAGTTAGTGAGGGAGATAAGAGTCTCCAGCTTCAGAGATTTTTGCAGTTCGTTCCAGTCATTGGCAGCAGAGAACTGGAAGGAATGGCGGCCAAAGGAGGTGTTGGCTTTGGGGATGACCAGTGAGATATACCTGCTGGAGCGCATACTACGGGTGGGTGTTGCTACCAATGAGCTAAGATAAGGCAGAGATTTGCCTAGCAGTGATTTATAGATGGCCTGGAGCCAGTGGGTTTGGCGACGAATATGTAGTGAGGGCCAGCCAACAAGAGCGTACAGGTCAACCCGAAATGGATGAAAATACCCTAAAATTAAAGCTGACAGTCTGCACTTTAACCTCATTGTCATTGTATCATTTCAAATCCAAGTGCTGGAGTACAGAACCAAAACAACACAAAATGTGTCACTGTCCCAATATTTTTGGAGCTCACTGTAGATCCAGCACACTGACTCTTCATTCCAACACATTGAATGTAGCAATGAGGCAACCCCATGTATAATATAAGGGTTTGAGTCTAAGACATGTAATGTAGGATGCTGGCCGTTGTGAATCATGTCAGTTTGTTATTTTTTGAATATAACACTTTTGTGCTTGTTGATGAATAAAATAACTTGTGTCCCTTTTATTTCTTGCAGGAATATTTGCCTACCTGAACTACAGAGTGCCACGGACAAGGAAGGAGATATTTGACACACTGGTAAAGGGACTGCAGAGACTTGAGTACAGGGGATATGACTCGGCAGGTAAAAAACATCATGTTGTGGTCTTATTTGATCTCAGTCATAGACAAGAGACAGTCTCCCTTAGGCCAATAAAGATATCTAGTCTCCAAATAGCCTCTTGATGAAGTCCAACATGACACCATGGTTCAGGGTTGTAATAATCTAGTTAACCCAGAACTAAATTATTGCGTAATTTGGTGAGATGCTCGTGTTTACATAGTCTGTCCACCAGTGTTGTGTTCGAGACCATCTAAAGCGAAATTCTGACAAGCGCGACAAAGTTTGAAGATATTTTTCAATTAAAGTAAAGGACAGTAATGTTACGAGTGAAATAGGAAGCCCAGATTTCAATATGCAATAAGTTATGAATGTGTCATGAGGGAGTGTGGATATTTGACCTGGCAAAGCAGTTTTATGGGCTGACTGAATGGGTGCTGATAATTATGAGGTTTCTTACTCAGCTGGTCTGGAGAAGAAATGGTGAGTCCTCATTGTCCGAGACAGAGTCAATACCGAGACACTCAATATGTGGTCTATACTACAACACTGCTGTCCACAAGAGATTATGGTTGTAATAGATTCATGTTTTTGCTGCGTTTGGCTTTCAGGTGTCGGAGTGGATGGCCCTAGGAAAAATGATAACGGTGACAACGTCAACATTTGCCTGATCAAGAAGAGGGGGAAGGTCAAGGCTCTGGAAGAGGAGCTCTACAGTAAGATGAACTCTCTACTCTGCTACACTAAACTGAACTCTACTCTCCCTCCCTAGTCTCCTACAGTAAGATGAACTCTCTACTCTGCTACACTAAACTGAACTCTCTACTCTCCCTCCCTAGTCTCCTACAGTAAGATGAACTCTCTACTCTCCCTCTCTACTCACCCTCCCTAGTCTCCTACAATAAGATGAACTCTCTACTCCCCCTCTCTACTCTGCTACAGTTAGCTGAACTCTCTACTCTCCTACAGTAAGATGAACTCTCTACTCTCCCTCTCTACTCTCCTACAGTAAGATGAACTCTCTACTCTCCCTCTCTACTCTCCTACAGTAAGATGAACTCTCTACTCCCCCTCTCTACTCTGCTACAGTAAGCTGAACTCTACTCTGCTACAGTTAGCTGAACTCTCTACTCACCTACATTAAGATGAACTCTCTACTCTCCCTCTCTACTCTCCTACATTAAGCTGAACTCTCTACTCTCCTACAGTAAGATGAACTCTCTACTCTCCCTCTCTACTCTCCTACAGTAAACTGAATTCTCTACTCCCCCTCTCTACTCTGCTACATTAAGCTGAACTCTCTACTCTGCTACAGTTAGCTGAACTCTACTCTGCTACAGTTAGCTGAACTCTACTCTGCTACAGTTAGCTGAACTCTCTACTCACCTACATTAAGATGAACTCTACTCTGCTACAGTTAGCTGAACTCTACTCTGCTACAGTTAGCTGAACTCTCTACTCACCTACATTAAGATGAACTCTCTACTCCCCCTCTCTACTCTGCTACAGTAAGCTGAACTCTACTCTGCTACAGTTAGCTGAACTCTCTACTCACCTACATTAAGATGAACTCTCTACTCTCCCTCTCTACTCTGCTACAGTAAGATGAACTCTCTACTCTGCTACAGTTAGCTGAACTCTCTACTCACCTACATTAAGATGAACTCTCTACTCTCCCACTCTACTCTGGTACATTAAGCTGAACTCTCTACTCATCTACATTAAGCTGAACTCTCTACTCTCCCAGTCTACTCTGCTACATTAAGCTGAACTCTACTCTCCTACATTAAGCTGAACTCTCTACTCTGCTACATTAAGCTGAACTCTCTACTCTGTTACATTAAGCTGAACTCTCTACTCGCCCTCTCTATTCTGCTACATTAAGCTGAACTCTCTACTCCCCCTCTCTACTCTCCTACATTAAGCTGAACTCTCTACTCTCCCTCTCTACTCTCCTACATTAAGCTGAACTCTCTACTCCCCCCCTCTACTCTCCTACATTAAGCTGAACTCTCTACTCTGCTACATTAAGCTGAACTCTCTACTCTCCTACATTAAGCTGAACTGTCTACTCCCCCTCTCTACTCTCCTACATTAAGCTGAACTCTCTACTCTCCCTCTCTACTCTGTTACATTAAGCTGAACTCTCTACTCCCCCTCTCTACTCTCCTACATTAAGCTGAACTCTCTACTCTCCTACATTAAGTTGAACTCTCTACTCCCTCTCTACTCTCCTACAGTAAGCTGAACTCTCTACTCTCCCTCTCTAATCTCCTACATTAAGCTGAACTCTCTACTCTCCCTCTCTACTCTGCTACATTCAGCTGAACTCCCTACTCTGCTACAGTAAGATGAACTCTCTACTCTGCTACAGTTAGCTGAACTCTCTACTCACCTACATTAAGATGAACTCTCTACTCTCCCACTCTACTCTGGTACATTACGCTGAACTCTCTACTCATCTACATTAAGCTGAACTCTCTACTCTCCCAGTCTACTCTGCTACATTAAGCTGAACTCTCTACTCTCCTACATTAAGCTGAACTCTCTACTCTGCTACATTAAGCTGAACTCTCTACTCTCCTACATTAAGCTGAACTGTCTACTCCCCCTCTCTACTCTCCTACATTAAGCTGAACTCTCTACTCTCCCTCTCTACTCTGTTACATTAAGCTGAACTCTCTACTCCCCCTCTCTACTCTCCTACATTAAGCTGAACTCTCTACTCCCCCTCTCTACTCTCCTACATTAAGCTGAACTCTCTACTCCCCCTCTCTACTCTCCTACATTAAGCTGAACTCTCTACTCTGCTACATTAAGCTGAACTCTCTACTCTCCTACATTAAGCTGAACTGTCTACTCCCCCTCTCTACTCTCCTACATTAAGCTGAACTCTCTACTCTCCCTCTCTACTCTGTTACATTAAGCTGAACTCTCTACTCCCCCTCTCTACTCTCCTACATTAAGCTGAACTCTCTACTCTCCTACTTAGTTGAACTCTCTACTCCCTCTCTACTCTCCTACAGTAAGCTGACCTCTCTACTCTCCCTCTCTACTCTCCTACATTAAGCTGAACTCTCTACTCTCCTACATTAAGCTGAACTCTCTACTCCCCCTCTCTACTCTCCTACATTAAGCTGAACTCTCTACTCTCCCTCTCTACTCTCCTACATTAAGCTGAACTCTCTACTCTCCCTCTCTACTCTCCTACATTAAGCTGAAATCTCTACTCTCCCTCTCTACTCTGTTACATTAAACTGAACTCTCTACTCTCCCTCTCTACTCTCCTACATTAAGCTGAACTCTCTACTCCCCCTCTCTACTCTCCTACATTAAGCTGACCTCTCTACTCTCCCTCTCTACTCTCCTACATTAAGCTGAACTCTCTACTCTCCTACATTAAGCTGAACTCTCTACTCTCCCTCTCTACTCTCCTACATTAAGCTGAACTCTCTACTCCCCCTCTCTACTCTCCTACATTAAGCTGAACTCTCTACTCTCCCTCTCTACTCTCCTACATTAAGCTGAACTCTCTACTCTCCCTCTCTTACTCAACTCCATACCACTCTACTTGAGTCAACTCCACTAATTTCTCCCTGTTCACAGGCTAAATGTAAGAAGGTACTACGTATTAGCTAATGCTTAGTATGTTTCTCACTGCTTTGGTGTGTGTTCTATCCTGTTGAGAATGAACTGTCAGTGCTGTTACATATTGATGTTGTAGCCTGATCGTTGATTGTGTGTGTGATCAGAGAACGACTCCATTGACCTGGACATTGAGCTGGACACACACTTTGGCATTGCTCACACCCGCTGGGCGACACATGGAGAGCCCAACGCTGTCAACTGCCATCCACACCGCTCTGACAAGAACAACGGTACGAACACACATACTGTAGGGTCCCACATTAAATGGTGAGAATTGCTGAAGCAATGTTAGTGCAGTATTAAGCAGTTTGTAAACACACTATAATGCAGTCATTCACTCAATACAAGAAAACTGGGGTACAGTATAATGTGTCCCCATTGGCTTTACATTGAAGCCCCTAAAAGAGCATCTTAAAAACAGTCATCTGGTTGACCATTTAGAGGTTGTTAACCGACCCCTGTTGTTGCCTTCATTTAATGTGCCCTGGTTTCCTCAAGGAAGAGAAACACCGGAGAGCAGATGAAAACTTTAAAGAGAAAGGGGTCAGGGGTCATTTTTGAAAGATAATGAGATGGCTTAACTCCATGCTGTCTGATGTATTGCCTGGTGTCCTGGCCTGCCTGGGCTTTCTCCTTAGGCCTATGCAGATGTGCTTGAGTTCACCTTAGAGAGTGGGACTCTCCGTAGCTCCATCATGATAGTAAATCATAAAGAGACCAGGATGTTCTCCTATGACAGGGGTCATCAACTTTAGATTCAGCCGCTGGCCGATTCTTTTTTTCTTGAGCGGATGGTCGGGTGGCCAGAACATAATAATTTGTAGACTGCAAATTGACCGCAAGAAGCCATAACAGATATAATATTTGACTAAAGCATAATCATTTGAAACCTTGCTTATATTTGTAAACAATCACGTGTCTCTCTATAATGCGATTTCCAAAATTAAAATCACTTGGAGCTGATTTCCTGGTGTTTTTACAGTTGTTTATGTCCAACAATAATACAAAAAAATAATAATAATATAAATATATATGTATATATTTCTGGCCCACCCGTGGGCCGTCAGTTGGGGAACCCTGGCCTAGGACATAAAACAAGAGAGACTGACCTTAAATACAAAAACATTTGTGCTTCTGCACGTACATTGCTTGCTCTTTGAAGTTTTAGTCTGGGTATCTGTAAAGCACTTTGTGACAACTGCTGACGTAAAAAGCTTTATAAAATAATAATAATAATAATAATAAAATAAAATTGATTGATTGTTTGAAAGACTAATTAAAGCGGAGTAGATATTTACTTACAATAATTACACTTACACTGTAGCCATTAGCTCATGTTTGACACAAGGTAATGTTACGCTGTCACAGAGGAATACATATACTGTGAATGCTAAATATTGTGATCTCTGTTCTTCACCTTAGAATTTGTTGTGATCCACAATGGCATCATCACTAACTACAAGGAGCTCAGGAAGTACCTGGTAAGTTGTGACAACACATTCCAATGTGGACATACATTTACACACCTTGAACACATTATTGCTACTAGCCCTTTGTACACGGGTACCCTGCTCTGTACAGACGTCATAACCAGAAGAAGTGGAGTTTTACAACAGTGTGAAGACCACACAGACGCCCTTAGGCCATTGGTCAGTAGACCCAATAGAGATCATATATGTGGGGTTTGTTTGTAGACGTTAGCAAATGTTATTTAATGAAAGGACATTACAGTATTCTATTTCTGGAGCATGGATGTATAAAGGTGTTGACGTAGAAATACAATCAATAGAACGGGCCTCCCCATTCAAGTCAATGGTGGCATATTGGGTGGACTGGCAGCCATTGCGAGTGTACCCATTAGTTTACCAGTGAAATGACCAGGATTAGAGTTACCAAGCCCTTTCTATGGACTCTGTTTCTATGGGTGTTGATGGGTCAGACCGTAGATTCCTGTACAGATTCTCCTGTCTTTGCCATTCATGGATGCGGTCTGTCATGGTCTGCATTGCTGTTTCATTAGCCAGACTGAGCTAATAACTGAGACTGACAGTTAGGCTATATCTCTACGTCCATTTAGAGAGAAACATTGTCTGTTTTGAAGGTTGTTGTGTCTGTAACTAACAGTAGTGTTTTGTATACTGCCGTCAGAACTCCAAGGGCTACAAGTTTGAGTCGGAGACGGACACCGAGGTCATCCCCAAGCTGATTAAATACGTCTATGACAACAGCGAGAACGATTATGTGTCCTTCTCCACCCTGGTGGAGCGCGTCATTCAGCAGCTGGTAAGCGTCATGGAGGGGTGTGGGGGCTTCTGGGAAAATCTCAGTATATGACCACACACAATTAACTGTCCTGTCTCAATGAAATGGGCCCTTTGATGTAGCTGCATGTGGTAGTGTAGTTGATTCTGTTGTGACGAACTGAATTCATTTAGGATGTGTCAGCTGGGGTTGTGTGTTGCAACGTCTCTCTCTTTCCCCCCCCTGTCTGGCTTGTTTTACTGTTTCCCTTGAAACACATTGCATAATGCAAAGCAGTCGTCCGTATGTAGCAGCTAACTTAATGCCCTCCGCAACCTGAAAGGAAAAGGTTTTTAGGTTATAAGAGTCCTGCTGTGCTCAGTGTGCTGGGATCTGGTTGCGTCTAGTTTTAGAAGTGGCTCTGGAAGATGACCTAATATCCTGTATATCACCCCACCCCAACCCACTACCCCAGGAGAAAACTAAGACCTCACTCTGTAGCTTCAATAAAAGAAGGGGAAAGTTGAACGAAATTTGCTCTTGGCCTAATTGAAAACAGACTGAATCATAAGCTGTGTGTGTGTGTGTGTGTGTGTGTGTGTGTGTGTTACTTTGTGTTTATTTGTTTTACAATTCTCCTCCCCTCTCAGTTTGGCCAATGAGAGAGCTCAGGGCTAGGGAGCAGAGTAGTGCTTTCACAGAGAGGGCTCTTATTCCTCGTACAGCCTGAGTGTGTGGAGCTCTGTTTCCTCCCAGCGTACCCCATCTATCTCCCTGCCTCACAGCGTACCCCATCTATCTCCCCACCTTACTGGGCCGCTGGGCTGGTGTTTAGGCAGGGGATAAAGGGTTCCGCTGATTTGCCATAATTTCCTATCATTTTGTCTTCTATCACTTTCCTTTGACTGGTGTCTATTGGGTTTAGCCCGTCTAGGGACTGGTGTCTATTGGGTTTAGCCCGTCTAGGGACTGGTGTCTATTGGGTTTAGCCCGTCTAGGGACTGGTGTCTATTGGGTTTAGCCCGTCTAGGGACTGGTGTCTATTGGGTTTAGCCCGTCTAGGGACTGGTGTCTATTGGGTTTAGCCCGTCTAGGGACTGGTGTTGGACATGAGTGCAGGCTATGAAGTTTAAACGTTATAGTGCATCTGACTGTTGTTGATGACTCATTGTGTCAATATCATCCTGTCCTAAATGAGATCATATTGGCTGTGAATTCACTGAGGCCTACAGGATGTCCTTTCTGACACCACTAACTTGTTGTACTCTTTTTGTCTCTTCTCTCTAAGGAAGGTGCTTTTGCTCTTGTTTTCAAAAGCATCCACTTCCCGGGGGAAGCTATAGCCACCAGGTCAGTATGATCCGTCTCATTTCTCTCCTCTTCTCGGCCCGTCACTTCTATCTCACACGTACGCCCTGCCTACCATAACACTTTACCATCCATTATAGATTTACCCCCAGCCTGACCTCTAACCCTGTTCCTGACCTCAAAGGGTTGCGTAATGTCCTGTAGAACTCTCACTAAGCACAAAGTTCTGTGGAGGTTCAAGTGGAAGCCCCTGAATCAGGGAATCTGATCCTGTTTCAAAGAGTTCGGTCACCACATGCCCACTATAATGCAATGTTCTAGTTTAGGTGAAACGGTAAAGCCAGGTATGAAAAAGGCATGACGGTTATGTAAGAAACCTATAGAGGTTTTGTCATTCTTTTTATAAGCATCATGTAAATTGTATACCAGTAAAGATTACACATTATGCACGGTAAGCATCACTGTTTGTTCACTGTGTCTGTGTCTGTGTCTGTGTGTGTGTCTGTGTCTGTGTCTGTGTGTGTGTGTCTGTGTCTGTGTGTGTGTGTGTCTCTGTGTCTATGTGTCTGTGTGTGTCTGTGTCTGTGTGTGTGTCTGTGTGTGTGTGTCTCTGTATGTGTGTGTCTGTGTCTCTGTGTGTCTCTCTGTGTGTGTGTGTGTCTGTGTCTCTGTGTGTGTCTGGGTCTCTGTGTGTCTGTGTCTGTGTGTGTGTGTCTGTGTCTGTGTGTCTCTGTGTCTGGGTGTGTCTGTGTGTGTCTGTGTCTGTGTGTGTCTCTGTGTGTGTCTCTGTGTGTGTCTCTGTGTGTGTGTGTGTGTGTGTGTGTGTGTGTGTGTGTGTGTGTGTGTGTGTGTGTGTGTGTGTCTGTGTGTGTCTCTGTGTGTGTCTGTGTCTGTGTGCAAACTAGTGTGTGTGTGTGTGTGTGTTTGCGTTAGTTAAGATTTCTCCTCGCCCTCTCAGTTTTCCCAGTGAGAGAGCTCAATGGGCTTGGGAGCAGAGAAGAGCGTTTCCAGAAAGGGCTCTTATGCCTCTTTCAGCCTGAGTGGGCTAGGGACCAGAATGGAGCTTTTCCAGAGAGGGCTCTTATGCACTGAGTGTAGTTTACTGTCTTTTGTCAGAGTTGCTTCCCAGGGGAAAGAATGGTTACAATTAAGTCATTCTACATGTGTTTGTAGTTCCTCACCCCCTGCATTCAACAATGCCCTCCTTCATGGTATTGTTGCTTGATATTTTGTAGTGGCAGGAAAGGGGAAATAGCTTAAAAATATGAGACATGTTCCCCTTATTTCAATACATTAATAATTGATCATTTTCTAACCAAGGGGCGTAGGCACAGGTGGGCCCCACTGGGGAGCCCAGGCCCATCCAATCAGATAGAAAATACAAATAAATAAAGCTCTTGTCAGTGTTCCAAATGGGACATAATTTATATTTTAACCTAAACATTCAAACACCATCAGATAGAATTCATAGCAAGCAGTACACTGAGTAAGTCAGATTTGATTAAATATAACCGAACAGATTAACTGGAATGACATTCACTCTCACGGGATGGGTTGCCAAAAATAGCTAACTGAAAGCGACACCCCCAATAAGCCACAAATATGACTGCATTGAGGCATATGACAGTGTTTCTATGGCTATACAGTATATACACCATGCCACTGCCTATTTCATTTGTTCATTTAGCAAATAAGACAGCTGATATTCCAGTGCCTTTATCACAGTCAACACACCTTTATTTAAGCTTTAATTATCTTTAAAACTGCAAAATTCTCTCATAGCCTCTTGGCAAAATGTGTAGAATTGCAGGAACTTTGCTTTAAAACAGCAACATTTTCTCTCTGCCTCATGGCAAAATGTGTAGAATATCATGAGATTAGCTATAAAACTGCAAATGTTTCTCTTTGCCCAATGGCCCAAATTTCTTTAGGCCCACGCCACTGGTCTAACCATAAAGATCTCAGGGTATTATAATGCACAAAGCAAGTGATTGCACAATACCAGATTGAGTGATGTTTGTGGTGTGTGTGTGTGGGATTCTGTTGGCTTGTCTTTATAGCTGAGTGAAGGGATGTGGTGTACTCTGTGTGGGAGAAAGTGGAGGGTGTGTTATGACTGCCTTTGTATATTCTAAGAGGGCTTGTCTCAGACAGCGGTTTGATTTGGGCCAAAAAATGTAGATCTAGGTCATACCAGTTTCTCTCTTTCACAATGTCTCATTCCAGCCTCAGCCTCTCTAATGGTCTCTGTCACTGTCGTCCTACCTTAGGAGAGGAAGTCCTCTGCTTATCGGCGTGAGGAGCAAGTACGAGCTGTCTATGGAACATATCCCTATTCAGTACAACAGTACTGGTGAGTCCCTCCTTGCCTTAGAACACTACGCCTACTCTCTCTGGGTGCCTCTGTAAACTAGGCCAGCTGTTGGCAGCGGCGAACTGATACTTTTAGTACTGGTGTTTTTAAATATTGTCCTTATAATTTGTAATACCCCTGTTGTGTATTGTCGCTGTAATGAGCATGTGGAGCTGTAGGTTGGGATTTGTGACTGGAGTTGCTGGTGCAATCCCTGCTGTATAGGTAAACTGCTGTTTGTCATCAAGCAGAGCACTTAATGAATTTATGTCAACTTTAGCTGTCAACGTTCTTGTGCTCAGAACCATGCTTTTGATTAATATGTTTTCATTTAGCTGAAAATAAACATGACTGATTGAAATGAAGTGTTATATTAAGGAGGGGATAGGAAAACTTACCAAAGACAAAATGTTAAGAACACCCTTTTGAGTGAGCCTAAATAATATCTGTCTGTAATGTTTAGTGTCAATTACATTTCAAAAGGTTTAGTAAGGACTTTGTCATAAGCTGTTATACAACTGAAGTTCCTTCTGGAATTTAAAAAAATAATGTTCTATTCTGTTCTGTCTGCTTGACCGTGTCTACTTTCCAGGGCACTTTATAGAAGGCATCCAGCAGAGGAATTTCAGGAACAGGGTGGACAGCACCGTAGCCTTGCACTCAGTCAGTGACAGGAAGGCAGTGGAGTTCTACTTTGCTTCTGATGCCAGGTGAGAGCCACGAGAAGATAAATCTCCCCCCAACTGGAAAACTAACCCCAGATGTAATTAATGTAGCTCTTAGAGTTAAATACTGAGTGTGTTCTACACTTCTATCTACTGGCCGAAAACTGTCATTACATGATACAAAAAATATTCAGTTCTTATTCATATTGTAACCTATTTACTGTAGATTACTGCCATGTTCCTTACACATTCATGAAAAAATGAAAAACAAATATTTGTCCTTCCTGCCTCACCCTCAGTGCCATCATTGAACACACCAACAAGGTGATCTACCTGCAGGATGATGACATAGCAGCGGTGGCCGAGGGCAAGCTGTCCCTGCACCGTATGAGCCGCTGTGCCGGGGAGGACCCTAACCGGGCCATCCAGACCCTACAGATGGAGCTGCAGCAGATCATGAAAGGTCAGGGGTCATCACAACACATAGTCACACACGGATAACAAGAGCCATGTATTTAGAGAGTTGGAACTTTGAGGTTTCTGATGCATTTACATGACACTACGAAATTATATGGCAGCCATTTTAGCACCCCATTAACATTACATGGGTAATATTTAAACTATGCTTTGTAATGGAATGTCTAGAATTAGAACAATATTAGAAATTCTAAAAGTTAGACCCACCCCTCTAAATACATGACTCTGCTGATAACCAATCAGTGTACAGTAGATACGGACAGGGTAATGCAGAGGTGCTGGGATAGTTTGAATTGTTTAGCAGTTAGTAGCTATGTGCAGTTTTCAGAAATGAGTGAGAGCCTGATGCAGTCTTCTTTCACTCAGGGTCTGTCTGTATTCCTGGGTGATCTGTTATTGTGGTTGGTATTGATACATAACATGGATGTTGACTCACAGGGAACTTCAAGGCCTTCATGCAGAAGGAGATCTTTGAGCAGCCAGAGTCTGTCTTCAACACCATGAGAGGAAGGATCTGTTTTGACACCAATACAGGTATGGCATAGCCTGAAATCCAGAACCTGTTTTGCTAACATTCCACTCCATGTACTCCTGTGTGATGCTAAACATGATGACGAGTGGCAAGGAGTGGATTGATAACTCAAACAGACTGGTACCCAGGCTAAGTATGGCACACACAGTACACCAAACGGATATGTTTAGAAATAGATCAGTAGCTGAAGATCAGAAAGGCATCTTGTCGTTTTGTGTCAGAGATGTGATTTTGATCCACAGTGGTGCTGGGGGGCCTGAAAGACCATCTGAAGGAGATCAGGCGCTGCAGACGCCTCATCCTGATTGGCTGTGGGACCAGTTTCCATGCTGGAGTGGCGGTGAGTGCTAAACGGGTCAGGGGGCGATTGATGGACATTTTGCTGTAGACTGAGTAGGAGATTCACTAATTGACACTTGTGTGGGTGTAACAAGATCCTGTATGGGTCCTGGTTCTGTATGGCTCAGTTGGAGCGGGACACTAAACCGGATGCATAAAAGAAAACCACTACGACCTCCGACGAGCCATCAAACAGGGAAAGCGTCAATACAGGACTAAGATCGAATCCTACTATGCCGGCTCTGATGCTCGTCAGATGTGACAGGACTCGCAAACTATCATGGATTACAAAAGGAAAACCAGCCGCGAACTGCCCAGTGACGCGAGCCTAGCAGACTAGCTAAATGCCTTCTATGCTCGCTTCGAGGCAAGCAACACTGAACCATGCATGAGAGCACCAGCAGTTCCGGACGACTGTGTGATCTCGCTCTCCATAGCCGATGTGAGCACCCATAAAACTTCAATTAATAGCCCGGGTGTTTATTTGCTTAAATCACTGAACACAACAGGTGCTTATTAGAGACGGGCTTCTATTTGAGCCAGGTGTCTATTTCCTTAATGGACACAGCTTTTGCTCATTCGCATAGTTAATTCCAGCATTCACTTCCAGCATTTTTATCAATTTCTGCAATAATGTGTTATCATTTACACACTGTGTCACGTTTATTTTGTTTTAGTATGCCTCTATTTCAGACAACAACAAAAAACGTTTCCTTGACATAATAATTATTCTCCCCTTTGACTGTGCATTTTTGGCAGTTCTTACTTTCGCCACTAGAGGGTGATCGATCGATTTCTGGGGATCTGTACTCCCAAAGTTGTTGCCTGTTTTTGTGCTTGCCAATTAGTTAGCAGTTCTCAGCTGTTAGCAGCCAATGGCTAGACAAAGGAGCTGATCGTGGACTACATGAAACAAAGGGCCGAGCACGCTTCCATCCACATCGACAGGGATGTAGTGGAGCGGATCAAGAGCTTCAAGTTCCTCTGTGTCCACATCACTAAGGAATTAACATGGTCCACACACAACAACACAGTCATGAAAAAGGCACGACAACGTCTCTTCCCTCTCAGGAGGCTGAAAAGATTTGGCATGGGCACTCAGATCCTCAAAAAGTTCCACAGCTGCACCATTGACAGCATCTTGACTTGCTTCCAATGGCGCCGGAGGGGACGGCTGCCGTTTTATGGACTCTTAACCAACCGTGCTATTTTGTTAGTTTTTTCACATTGTTTGTAAGTTATTTTGTACATAATGTTGCTGCTACCGTCTCTTATGACCGAAAAGAGCTTCTGGACATCAGAACAGCGATTACTCACCTTGAACTGGACAAATAATTTTTCTTTAATGAGTCGGACGAGAGGGATTTGCTCCAGACATCTGACAGGGCCCTCATCCCCGTCATTCACAGTAGAAAGAAAAGGAGATATCGCGGAAGGAGATCGGGGTGCTTGGTAAGGAGCCGGCGACGAGTGGCTAATCTACCTTTGCCATCGGTACTATTGGCCAACAAACAATCGCTTGATAATAAAATGGACGAACTAAAAGCACGTATATCCTACCAACGGGACATTCAAAACTGTAATATCTTATGTTTCACGAGTCGTGGCTGAACGACGACATGAATAACATACAGCTGGCGGGTTATACACTGTATCGGCAGGATATAACAGCAGCCTCTGGTAAGACAAGGGGTGGCGGTCTATGTATATTTGTAAACAACAGCTGGTGCATGATATCTAAGGAAGTCTCAAGGTTTTGCTCGCCTGAGGTAGAGTATCTCTTTATAAGCTGTAGACCACACGATCTACCAAGAGAGGTTTCATCTATATTCTTCGTAGCTGTCTATTTACCACCACAAACCGATGCTTGCACTAAGACCGTACTCAATGAACTGTATACGGCCATAAGCAAACAGGAAAACGCTCATCCAGAGGCGGCGCTCCTAGTGGCTGGGGACTTCAATACAGGGAAACTTAAATCAGTTTTACCTCATTTCTACCAGCATGTTAAATGTGCAACCAGAGGCGAAAAAACTCTAGACCACCTTCACTCCACACACAAAGACGCGTACAACGCTCTCCCTCACACTCCATTTGGCAAATCTGACCATCATTCTATCCTCCTGATTCCTGCTTACAAGCAAAAACTAAAGCAGGAAGCACCAATAAAAAAAGTGGTCAGATGAAGCAGATGCTAAGCTATAGGACTGTTTTGCCAGCACAGACTGGAATATGTTTCCGGGATTCTTCCGATAGCATTGAGGAGTACACCACATCAGTCACTGGCTTCATCAATAAGTGCATTGATGACGTCGTCCCCACAGTGACTGTACGTACATATCCCAACCAGAAGCCATGGATTACAGGCAACATCCACACTGAGCTAAAGGGTAGAGCTGCCGCTTTCAAGGAGCGGGACTCTAACCCGGAAGCTTTTAAGAAATCCCGCTATGCCCTCCGACGAACCATCAAACAGGCAAAGAGTCAATACAGGACTAAGATCGAATCGTACTATCAAATAAAATAAAATAAAATTTTATTTGTCACATACATGTGTTTAGCAGATGTTATAGCGGGTGTAGCGAAATGCTTGTGCTTCTAGCTCCGACAGTGCAGTAATATCTAACAATTTCACAACATATACCCAATACACACAAAAAAGTAAGGAATGGGATTTAAGAATATATACATATATGGACAAGCAATGACAGAGCGGCATGGACTAAGATACAGAATAATATTATAGAATAGAATGCAGTATATACATATGAGATGAGTATTGCAAGATATGTAAACAATATTAAAGTGACTAGTGTTCCCTTTCTTAAAGTGGCCAGTGATTTCAATAGGCAGCAGCAGCCTCTAATGTGCTAGTGATGGCTATTTAACAGTCTGATGGCCTTGAGATAGAAGCTGTTTTTCATTCTCTCTGTCCCAGCTTTGATGCACCTGTACTGACCTCGCCTTCTGGATGATAGCGGGGTGACCAGGCAGTGGCTCGGGTGGTTGATGTCCTTGATGATCTTTTTGGCCTTCCTGTGACATCGGGTGCTGTATGTGTCTTGGAGGGCGGGTAGTTTGCCCCCGGTAATGCGTTCGGGAGACCGCACCACTACACGCTCGTCGGATGTAGCAGGGCTTGCAAACTATTACAGACTACAAAGGGAAGCACAGCCGCGAGCTGCCCAGTGACGCAAGCCTACCAGACGAGCTAAATTACTTCTATGCTCTCTTCGAGGCAAGTAACACTGAAACATGCATGAGAGCATTAGCTGTTCCTGTCGACTGTGTGATCATTCTCTCCGTAGCCGATGTGAGTAAGACCTTTAAACAGGTCAACATTCACAAGGCCGCAGGGCCAGACGGATTAACAGGATGTGTACTCCGAGCATGCGCTGACCAACTGGCAAGTGTCTTCACTGACATTTTCATCCTCTCCCTGACTGAGTCTGTAATACCAACATGTTTCAAGCAGACCACCATAGTCCCTGTGCCCAAGAACAATAAGCCACACTGATCCTCAACACGGGGGCCCTCAGGGGTGCGTGCTCAGTCCCCTCCTGTACTCCCTGTTCACTCATGACTGCATGGCCAGGCACGACTCCAACACCATCATGTTTGCCAATGACACAACAGTGGTAGGCCTGATCACCGACAACGACGAGACAGCCTATAGGGAGGATGTCAGAGACCTGGCCGTGTGGTGCCAGGACAACAACCTCTCCCTCAACGTGATCAAGACAAAGGAGATGATTGTGGACTACAGGAAAAAGAAGAGGACCGAGCACGACCCCATTCTCATCGACAGGGCTGTAGTGGAGCAGGTTGAGAGCTTCAAGTTCCTTGGTGTCCACATCACCAACAAACTAACATGGTCCAAGCACACCAAGACAGTCGTGAAGAGGGCACGACAAAACCTATTCCCCCTAAGGAGACTGAAAAGATTTGGCATGGGTCCTCAGATCCTCAAAAGGTTCTAGAGCTGTACCATCGAGAGCATCCTGACTGGTTGCATCACCGCCTGGTATGGCAACTGCTTGGCCTCCGACCGTAAGGCACTACAGAGGGTAGTGCGTACGGCCCAGTACATCACTGGGGCCAAGCTTCCTGCCATCCAGGACCTCTTTACCAGGCGGTGTCAGAGGAAGGCCCTAAAAATTGTCAAAGACTCCAGCCACCCTAGTCATAGACTGTTCTCTCTGCTACCGCACGGCAAGCGGTACCGGAGCGCCAAGTCTAGGTCCAAGAGGCTTCTAAACAGCTTCTACCCCCAAGCCATAAGATTCTTGAACATCTAATCAAATTGGTACCCAGACTATTTGCATTACCCCCCCCCCCCCCCCCCCCCCCCCCCTCACTTTAATAACTCTACCTACATGTACATATTACCTCAATTACCACTACTAACCGGTGCCCCCGCACATTGACTCGGTACCGGTAACCCCCTGTATATAGCCTCGCTATTGTTATTTTACTGCTGCTCTTTAAGTATTTGTTACTTTTATTTCTCATTATTTTTTATTTTTTTTTAATTTTTTAATATTCTTTCTTAAAACTGCATTGTTAGTTAAGGGCTTGTAAGTAAGCATTTCACTGTAAGGTCTACACCTGTTGTATTCGGCGCATGTGACAAAAATAATTTGATTTGATTTCATCACTGCTTGGTATTCGACCGCTACAGAGGGTAGTGCATAAGTAAATCACTGGGGTCAAGCTCCCTGCCATCCAGGACATCTATACCAGGCGGTGTCAGGAAGGCCCTAAAAATTGTCAAAGACTCCAGCCACCCAAGTCATAGACTGTTCTCTCTGCTACCGCACAGCAAGCGGTACCGATGCACCAAGTCTGGAACCAACAGGACCCTGAACGGCTTCTACCCCCAAGCCATAAGACTAGAAATAGTTAACCAAATAGCTACCCGGACTATCTGCATTCACCCTTTTTGCACTAACTCTTTTTACGCTGCTGCTACTGTTTATTATCTATCCTGTTGCCTAGTCACTTTACCCCTACATACACTACATGACCAAAGATATGTGGACACTTACTCGTCGAACATCTCATTCTAAAATCATGGACATTAATATGGGGTTGGTCCCCCCTTTGCTGCTATAACAGCCTCCACTCTTCTGGGAAGGCTTTCAACTAGATGTTGGAACGACGCTGCGGGGACTTGCTTCCATTCAGCCACAAGAGCATTAGTGAAGTCGGGCACTTAATGTTGGGCGATTAGGCCTGGCTCGCAGTCCACATTCCAATTCATCCCAAAGGTGTTCGATGGGGTGGAGGTCAGGGCTCTGTGCAGGCTAGTCAAGTTCTTTCACACTGATCTTGACAAACCATTCCTGTACAGACCTCGCTTTGTACACAGGGGCATTGTCATGCTGAAACAGGAAAGGGCGTTCCCCAAACGGTTGCCACAAAGTTGGAAGCACAGAATCATCTAGAATGTAATTGTATGCTGTAGTGTTAATATTTCCCTTCCCTGGAACTAAGGGGCCATGATAAACAGCCCCAGACCATTATTCCTCCTCCACCAAACTTTACAGTTGGCACTATGCATTGTGGCAGTTAGCGTTGTCTTTGCATCCGCCAAACCCAGATTTGTCCGTCTGACTGCCAGATGGTGCTGACGTTGCTTCCAGAGGCAGTTTGGAACTCGGTAGTGAGTGTTGCAACCGAGGACAGACAATTTTTATGCCGTACATACTTCAGCACCCGGCGGTCCCGTTCTGTGAGCTTGTGTGGCCTACCACTTTGCGGCTGAGCCGTTGTTGCTCCTAGACGTTTCCACTTCACAATAACAACACTTACAGTTGACGAACTGACTTGTACGAAAGGTGGCATCCTATGACGGTGCCACGTTGAAAGTCACTGAGCTCTTCAGTAAGGCCATTCTACTGACAATGTTTGTCTGTGGAGATTGCATGGCTGTGTGCTCGATTTTATACACCTGTCAGCAACAGGTGTGGCTGAAATATCCGAATCCACTCATTTGAATGTCCACATACTTTTGTATATATATATATTGTATCTACCTCAATTACCTCGTACCCCTGCACATCGAGTCAGTACTGGTACCATGTGTATATAGCCAAGTTATCGTTACTCATTGTGTATTTATTCCTTGTGTTATTATTTTTCTATATTTTTCTCTCAGCATTGTTGGTAGGGGCCGTAATTAAGCATTTCACTGTTAGTCTACACCTGTTGTTTACCAAGCATGTGACAAATAAATGTTTCATTTTATTTGGTAGAGCATGGCGCTTGCAACGTCACGATTGTGGGTTCGATTCCCGAGCCCACCCATACGTAAAAAATGTACGCACACTTAACTTTGGGTCATTTTGGATAAAAGCATCTGCTAAATGGCTTATATTAAGACAAAGGACTCCAAAAATAGTCCAGACTCCAGGCTGAACAGTTGGTTCTTCTTAGATTAAAATAGAGTGATTGATGATACCCACTGTGGATAAATGAAACCCTTCCTTAATGCCTCTAGACCAGACAGATTCTGGAGGAGCTGACTGAACTGCCTGTGATGGTGGAACTGGCCTCTGACTTCCTGGACCGCATCACTCCTGTCTTTAGAGATGACGTCTGCTTCTTCATCAGCCAGTCTGGTACGTGAGACTGCACATTATCTGGTCAGATATGGTGCTTGCTGCGATCGATTGTGCTTTATTTCACAAGATGCTACGACTCCACCCCCTCCAGGTGAGACAGCAGACACCCTGATGGCGCTGCGTTACTGCCAGGGCCGCGGGGCTCTGACGGTGGGCGTCACCAACACAGTGGGCAGCTCCATCTCCAGGGAGACAGACTGTGGCGTTCACATCAACGCCGGCCCTGAGATCGGCGTGGCCAGCACCAAGGTACAACACCACCACCACACAGGATAGCCTCAGTTAATGTGAGCTCAGTGGTGTTGGACTGAGCACGGCGACTATATTGATATAATGATTCACATGTGTACCTAGGAGATGGTGTACTGTGTTTATGTGAGTGCCTGGTAGACTAGAGTTTGTGTATGACTGCTCACAGTGCCCCATACGTTCTCCAGGCGTACACTAGTCAGTTTGTGGCCCTCACCATGTTTGGTCTGATGATGAGTGAGGACAGGATCTCCCTACAGAAGAGGAGACTGGAGATCATCAATGGCATGAGGATGCTGCCAGGTCAGCCTCACTCTCTGTGCCTCTAGTTACCCCACTTATAACCTCCACCCCTCTCATAGCCCCTGTCAACTCCTTATCTATCAACCTCTATCCACCCCTCTCATTTTCAACTCTCCTATCTGTCTGTCTGTCTGTCTGTCTGTCTATAACCTCTAGCGACCCCTCTCATTTTACACTCCTTATCTGTCTATCTCCAATGAATTCCCTCACTGTGACATTCTTGTGAGCTAATGCAGAATGTGTATTGTGTTCCTCTCGTTAGGGTTCAGGTTAAAGTGCATATATTATATTATTCATGTGTATTGTGTTCCTCTCGTTAGGGTTCAGGTTAAAGTGCATATATTACATTATTCATGTGTATTGTGTTCCTCTCGTTAGGGTTCGGGTTAAAGTGCATATATTATATTATTCATGTGTATTGTGTTCCTCTCGTTAGGGTTCGGGTTAAAGTGCATATATTATATTATTAATGTGTATTGTGTTCCTCTCCTTATGGTTTGGGTTAAAGTGCATATATTATATTATTCATGTGCGTTATGTTCATCTCCTTAGGGTTGATTAAGGAGGTTCTGACTCTGGACGACCAGATCAGAAGCATTGCAAACGAGCTGTACCAGCAGAGGTCCCTGCTGGTTATGGGCCGGGGATACAACTATGCCACCTGTATGGAAGGGGCACTGGTGAGCACTGCACTCTTCAGCAGGGTAGAGCAGGGCTCTCCAACCCTGTTCCTGGAGAGCTACCCTCCTGTAGGTTTTAACTCCAACCCTGTTCCTGGACAGCTACCCTCCTGTAGGTTTTAACTCCAACCCTGTTCCTGGAGAGCAACCCTGCTGTAGGTTTTCTGTCCAACCCTGTTCTTGGAGAGCTACCCTCCTGTAGGTTTTCACTCCAACCCTGTTCCTGGAGAGCTACCGTCCTGTAGGTTTTAACTCCAACCCTGTTCCTGGAGAGCAACACTCCTGTAGGTTTTCTCTCTAACCCTGTTCCTGGAGAGCCTCCCTCCTGTAGGTTTTCACTCCAACCCTGTTCCTGGAGAGCAACCCTCCTGTAGGTTTTAACTCCAACCCTGTTCCTGGAGAGCTACCCTCCTGTAGGTTTTAACTCCAACCCTGTTCCTGGAGAGCTACCCTCCTGTAGGTTTTAACTCCAACCCTGTTTCTGGAGAGCTACCCTCCTGTAGGTTTTAACTCCAACCCTGTTCCTGGAGAGCGACCCTCCTGTAGGTTTTCTCTCCAACCCTGTTCCTGGAGAGCTACCCTCCTGTGGGTTTTCACTCCAACCCTGTTCCTGGAGAGCACCCTCTTGTAGGTTTTAACTCCAACCCTGTTCCTGGACAGCTACCCTCCTGTAGGTTTTCACTCCAACCCTGTTCCTGGAGAGCTACCCTCCTGTAGGTTTTCGCTTCAACCCCAGTTGTAACTTATGCCGGGCGTGCGCCACATGACTTTGAAAATCCTAACATTGCTGAGCCTCTCACATTAAACAACCGTCTTTCCTGTAGTTTTCTGTCTTTCCAACATAGTGTTGCACACGCTAAACGATGTAGTCACACACTGTAAGATTCTTCACGTGGTCGTGAGGATTCTCCATACAACGCTGTCTCGCCAAAACAATGACGTGATGATGTGAACAGATTGTTTACGTAGCTAGAATGAGCTGTGGCTCAAAGCAGCCTCATAAACGTCTTCAGTCAGACATTCACACTTGCCATACAGAGTTTAAATATCTAGCCAAGACATTTTGAATTGAATAATATTGCTTGTGAACTTCAGAGCTGTAACGATTTGATGCTTTGGCTAAGGACAAGTACAAACGCACACTAGTAGTAGTCATCTCTCCGGCTGGAGACTCTACACAGTCTGTGTGATGCGATACGTCATCCTCTTTGGTTTCTTCTCTGGCGAGCTCTCATTGTCTATAGCTGATCACTGTTCTCAAAACGTGTCCTTGCACATCTTACACTACAAGCGCATTGCAGATGTATTTTATTATTATTTGAAAATATCGGGACGGCTCAAAGACGTGATCGGTACCTCTCAGATTGCGTCTCTGACCCATTCACATGAAACAAGCGTCGGTGACGGCCGGGTGCCACGAGTAGCCAACCACATGGGGATTTTGTCTCCGATCTCTAAAACTTGTCTGGGACAGCTAAATCGGGGCCAAAATCATGTAGTGTACGCCAGCTTAACCAGATTTTATTTAACCTTTATTTAACTAGGCAAGTCAGTTAAGAACAATGATGGCCTACCCTGGCCAAACCCAGACGACGCTGGGCCAATTGTGCGCCGCCCTATGGGACTCCCAATCATGTGATACAGCCTGGAATCGAACCAGGGTCTGTAGTGACGCCTCTAGCACTGAGATGCAGTGCCTTAGACCGCTGCACCCAGCTAATTATTAGAATCAGGTTAGGGTTGGAGTGAAAACCTAGGACAAGAACTACAGGGGGTATTTGGAAAGGTTGGAGTTAAAACTACAGGGTATCTCTCCAGGAACAGGGTGAGTTAAACTCAGGGTATCTCTCAGAGGGTGGATTAAACCCTCGGTATCTCTCCAGGAACGGGTTGGAGTAAACTACAGGTACTTCCAGAACAGGTGAGTTAAAACTACAGGTATCCTCCGGAAAGGTTGGAGTTAAACCACAGTATCTCTCCAGGAACAGGGTTGGAGTTAAAACCCAGGGTATCTCTCCAGGAACAGGTTGGATTAAAACCTCGGGTCTCTCCAGGAACCACAGGGTATTAGGAGGTTAAAAACTACAGGGATTCTCCAGGAAGGGTTGGAGTTAAACCTACAGGTACTTCAGGACGGGTAGTCTCGGTACTCTCCAGGAACAGGGTTGGAGTTAAAACCGGTATCCTCAGAACAGGGTTCCTCTCTCCAGGAACTGGGTTGGAGTTAAAACCTACAGGGTATCTCTCCAGACAGGTTGGAGTTAAACCTACAGGGTATCTTCAGGAACAGGTTGGAGTTAAAACCTACAGGGTATCTCCCCAGAACAGGGTTGGAGTTAAAACTACGGTATCTTCCATGAACAGGGTATGGAGTTAAACCTACAGGAGGTACTGTCCAGGAACAGGGTTGGAGTTCAAAACCTACAGGAGGGTAGCGTCCAGGAACAGGTTGGAGTTAAAACTACAGGAGGGTAGCTCTCCAGGACAGGGTTGGGGAGCCTCGGGGTAGGGAGATGGCTTTCACATTTCAAATAACTCTCGGGGGATCAGATGGCTTCATCAACTATCGTTTATATCTTCCTGTTACAGAAAATCAAAGAGATCACGTACATGCACTCAGAGGGCATCCTGGCTGGGGAGCTGAAGCACGGTCCCCTGGCTCTCATTGACAAACACATGCCTGTCATCATGATCATCATGAAAGACGCCTGCTACACCAAGTGTCACAACGCTCTGCAGCAGGTCACTGCACGCCAGGTGAGACAAACACATAGAGTATACACACAGAGAGGGGGGGGGGGGGGCGGGGGGGACTCTCTCCCTCTCTCTGACTTTGACATTAAGTAGCTTTTGTACCCCTGCTATTCAAAAATAATTCACCTGACGGAATATCACAATGGACAGAAATAGTTTAATGATTATATCATTATTGATGCTATTTTCCCCTTTCCTCTCAGGGGCGGCCCATTATCCTGTGTTGCCAGGACGACCCTGAGATCACTAAGAATGCTTACAAGACCATTGAGTTGCCACAGACAGTGGACTGCCTTCAGGGCATCCTCAGTGTCATACCTCTCCAGCTCATGTCCTTCCACTTGGCTGTGCTTCGAGGATACGATGTAAGTCACCAGGCCCCAATTGTCCTCTGTTACAGCCGACAGCAATCATAGCATGTGTTGTGTCTGAGGGTGTTTTAAAAAAAGCTGTGTGCATGCTGTGTGTGTGTGTGTGTGTGTGTGTGTATGTGTGAGACCTTAACACTAATGTTGATTTTCTTTCCGTCTTCTTCTCAGGTGGACTGCCCCAGGAACCTAGCCAAGTCTGTGACAGTGGAGTAACTACTGCAACTACTAGTTTCAAACCAGTCAAAATACCGTAGTGCAGTCACACGTCTTTCTCTGTACTGTGTGTGTGTCTGTGTGTCTGTGTGTTGGCAGGTACTGAATTTGTACTTTTCGCGCCGTATTTATCAGGGTTGGGGTCAATTTGAATTGAAGGCAGTCAACTGAAATTCCAATTAAATGAGAGAAAATGTTGCATCTATTTTCAATGACTTTTCAATCAACTTAAAAGGAAGAGCTATTTATGTCAAAAGTTTTAACATTTGGGGATTTTAAATTCAAATCCTGAATTTACTGACTTCAATTTGAATTGACCCCAACCCTGGTATTTATGATAGATGTTAAACTCTGAAGATGAAATTTGTCGTGACTAAAGTGGTATGTTGGAGTTCTATCAGTGAGTTAAATTCAATGACGTTTACTCAATAAGTGCCTTGTGAATGTTTTATTATTATTTATTTTTTTATATACATAAGGAAGGGACATCTATATTATATTCTGTTTACTGCTCTGCACTGAACCAAAGGAACAATGTCAGAGCCTATTGTTAACATTTTGTCTAGAAATGTTTATAGTTGTGCAATATGTAGACTGACAGGGACTTGGTGTTTGTTTGTGATAGCGCCCACATCATTTTAATTTGCATGAAGCTTACTATACCTTTTTAAACAGTGAAGGAACAATGACTCTTAACATTACAGAAGGTAGAGAGATAATACACAGACTGCTGTTGGCTACATGGACAAGTTGTCATTAGAAGTTCTCTTTACAACGGGAAAATATCTGAGTACTTTTGAGGCTGTTACTGTATAACACCCTTATCATATGCAAACTATTTTAGACCAATCACTTGGACATGTACATTGCAATATATTTTTTAAAATTGTAGATATTTATTGTATTTTATATCTGATTATTTAGGTGAAGTCTTACTTGTCTAATTTTGAATAGGCCAGAATCTGTCCCCTAATCTTTCGCTATGTATATTACTTTTTTAAATACAATTATTTTTTACCCTTTATGTTGTGTGTGATGGATTCCACCTCAGATAGTGCTAGCTGAATTAAGTCCGATATACTCTTGATTTGATTTCATCTATATATACAGTACCAGTCAAAATATTTGGACACACCTACTCATTCAAGGGTTTTCTTTAATTTTTACTATTTTCTACATTGTAGAATAACATCACAACTATTAAATAACACATATGGAATAATGTAGTAACCAAAAAAGTGTTAAACAAATAAAAATGTATTTGAGATTTGAGATTCTTCAAATAGCTACCCTTTGCCTTGATGACAGCTTTGCACACTTGGCATTCTCTCAACTAGCTTCACCTGGAATACTTTTCCAACAGTCTTGAAGGAGTTCCTACATATGCTGAGCACTTGTTGGCTGCTTTTCCTTCACTCTGCGGTCCGAATCATCCCAAACAAACTCAATTTGGTTGAGGTCGGGGGATTGTGGAGGCCAGGTCATCTGATGCAGCACTCCATCACACTCCTTTTTGGTAAAATAGCCCTTAAACAGCCTGGAGGTGTGTTGGGTCATTGTCCTGTTGAAAAACAAATGATAGTCCCACTAAGCCCAATCCAGATGGGATGGCATATCGCTGCAGAATGCTGTGGTAGCCATGCTGGTTAAGTGTCCCTTGAATTCTAAATAAATAACATTCTAGTCATTTAGCAGACGCTCTTATCCAGAGCAACTTACACAAGAAATTAGGGTTAAGTGCCTTGCTCAAGGGCACATCAACAGATTTTTCACCTAGTCGGCTCGGGGATTAGAACCAGCAACCTTTTGATTACTGGCACAACGCTCTTAACCACTAAGCTACCTGCCGCCCAGACACAGACAATGTCACCGGCAAAGCACCCTCACAACCATAACACCTCCTCCTCCATGCTTTACGGTGGGAACTACACATGTGGAGATCATCCGTTCACCAACACCGCGTCTCACAAAGACACGGCGGTTGGAACCAAAAATCTCACATTTCGACTCCAGACCAAAGGACACATTTCCACCGGTCTAATATCCATTGCTCGTGTTTTTTTTGCCCAAGCAGGTATCTTCTTCTTATTGGTGTCCTTTAGTAGTGGTTTCTTTGCAGCAATTCGACCATGAAGGCCTGATTTACACAGTCCATTCTGAACAGTTGATGTTGAGATGTGTCTGTGACTTGAACTCTGTGAATAATTTTTTGGGGGATGCAATTTCTGAGGCTGGTAACTCTAATGAACTTATCCTCGGTAGCAGAGGTAACTCTGGGTCTTCTATTTCTGTGGCAGTCCTCATGAGTGCCAGTTTCATCATAGCGCTTGATGGTTTTTGCGACTGCACTTGAAGAAACTTTAAAAGTTCTTGAAATGTTCCGTAATTGACTGACCTTCATGTCTTAAAGTAATGATGGACTGTCGTTTCTCTTTGCTTATTTGAGCTGTTCTTGCCATAATATGGACTTGGTCTTTTACCAAATAGGGCTATTTTCTGTATACCCCCTCCTACCTTGTCACAACACAACGGGCCCTGTGTAGCTCAGTTGGTAGAGCATGGTGCTTGCAACGCCAGGGTTGTGGGTTTGATTCCCACGGGGGGCCAGTATGATAAACAAAACAAAAACATGTATGTGCTCATTAACTGTAAGTCGCACTGGATAAGAGCGTCTGCTAAATGACTAAAAAATAGAAAAACTTTTTAAAAAATGATTTGCTCAAACGCATTAAGAAGGAAAGACATTCCACAAATTAACTTTTAAGAAGGCACACCTGTTAATTTAAATGCATTCCAGGTGACTACCTCATGAAGCTGGTTGAGAGAATGCCAACAGTGTGCAAAGTTGTCATCAAGGCAAAGGGTGGCTATTTGAAGAATCTCAAATATAAAATATAATTTGATTAGTTTAACACTTTTTTGGTTACTACATGATTCCATATGTGTTATTTCATAGTTTTGATGTCTTCACTATTATTCTACAATGTAAACATAGTAAAAATAAAGAAAAACCCTTGAATGAGTAGGTGTGTCCAAACTTTTGACTGGTAGTGGATATCCCCATGAATAATATGTAACAAATATTTATAAAAAAATAAACAATTATTCACATTATTTTTGTTAATGTGTTTTATTTTGAAATCTTTAGTATGCAACTTGAAGTGTTTGCACCAATGATGTATATAAACCCTGGATTGCAAATGCTATGTATTGGCCATTGAGAGGCTTTGAACCCACCTGTTGGCCATATTGTCACTCCCCAGTAGGAGCAGACCTCCATAGGTATTAATGAAATTATACAGTATTTCAATTAAATGTTTTAAGGAAAAAATTACATGTATTTAGTATTTTCTTGATGTAGTGGGGACAGAAACATTAGTAATCTCAAAAAATATATTAAGGAACATTTTAATATTGTACTTTTTTTATGTTTAGCTCACATAATATAATTTAAAAGTATGCATTAAAGTGTCTGTAATAGAACAAACGTGGCAAAAACGAATGTAGACATTGATAAATGCATTTCTATAGCTTCCAAAATATTTTTTACAAAGGTGAGGGAGTGCTAAGATGGACGCGCGGTGGCTTCAACACAGCACCCCCTATTAGTCTTCTAGTGTATATATAAACCATTGGTTCGTACTCGCAGACAGCATCATCTATTTTGGCACTGTTGTTTGTGTGAGTTTGTGAACCGTCTGTCGGGATTTGTAGTTACAATATAACAAACTACTGTAGCTACATTGTATCAATTAACGTGTTTACTGCTACGCGATTACGTCATGCACGCTCGATCGTGGCCACTCGTGGTACTGGGTGGAATTGTCCCAGCAGCACCACTCCGTCTGCCTCCGCCCACCAGTCATGCTACGGACAGGGCTGCAACATTTTCAGCCAAACTACAAGGAAACATAAACGCAAAGTCGCCAATTTCACTGAACATACCAAGTTGAACGATTCTTCTTCTAGACACATCTGGTGGCGCGACATTTCCGCTGGTTAGCGGGTGTACGCATGGGAGTGATCCGGCAAAAGCAAAGGCAGAAGGTAAATCAGGATATCGTTTTCATCCAGATTGTTCTTTGGCGCACTGTCTCCTGTGACTGGTACATTTACTGTCACTTTAGCTTTTCTATCGAGAAAGAAATTACAGGAAAGAAATACAAAATTCTGATACCGATAGCATTGAATATGTGAATAAGATACAAAACCTGTTAGTCTAACTTATAGAGAATACTGTACATCTGAATAGGTTTGGCCTTTGTAGCTGGCTACCTGGGTTGGACGTGTCATGATGTCGGTAAAGCACGCATACTGAGTCATTCATTAGACTACAATCAGTCTGTGCAATGCATCCAGGTAGCCTATTGAGGACGAACTCAAATTCCTCAATGTACAGTGACTGTGTGCCTGAGGTATAAAATGTTTGGCAACACTTACACAGATTTTGTCCCAGGGTAATTATTAGTAGGGTGTAGAATAAAAAAAAAAGAAGCATCCAGCCTACAAATTCAGGTAGAATCATAGTTATAGTCCAAAGTAGGCTAAATTGTAACTACAGAGTTATTACATAGGTTATTATTATTACTACAGTGGTCTGGTGTAAAGTAATGTGTGCTCGAATGTTTTGTAGCTAATTAGCAAAATATTTTAAATATTTGCATTATGTAAATGCGAGAAAGTAAAGCATTATGACGTTCAGCTTCAAATAATATTTGGTTATTAGGCCTACTGAAAAGCCTGACCACTCCGAGCTAGGCCTACAGTTGTTTAGCTCACCCATGTCATCTTCCACAACACAGATGCCCTATAATCAGTTCTGACCACTAGATCGTATTATTTACGCAGTTGGCCACTGCGGGGTCATATCTGACCCGTGGGATGAACCTGTGGGTTACAGTTGGCAGCTGCCCATTGCGCCATTGCTGAGGGACCATGAGGCGTTTGTAGGTCACCATCTATCTACTAACTAGCCACAAGACTCTCGGCATACCAGTGTATCTGTCTGCCCTTACCAATGTGTGTGTGAGAGAGAGAGAGAGAGAGAGAGAGAGAGAGAGAGAGAGAGAGAGAGAGAGAGAGAGAGAGAGAGAGAGAGTACATGCATTCGCGTGTCTAACATAGGGTTGACTGCAATATTATTCCTGTATGTACGCATCTCTTACAGTTTTTTTCAATTGCTAACAAGCATCGGTCAATACTGAAGCCACTTTTTCAAAACTCTTCACACAGTCTGCATTACCAACATGCATCTTGGCCAAACAGTTAATCTCACCTCCAAAATACACTAAAACCACCAAAACACTTCAAACATGTCTCAAAATAAGCTTGTTCGACCATAACACTGGCAACAATTCTCACTCAGAAAGCATACATTGTCACTCATAACACACTGACCTAAAAAGCACTAACAACAGGGAGCATTACATAAATGATTAACTTTCCTCTTTGAAGTTTGAATGATTTTGCACATAAATCAGTATTTCATTATAGAATAAAAATAACACAATTTCACTTTATTGAGTGTACTAAAGTATATGTAACAAGAATGATTCAGAAATGCAGCAATTTGCTTCATTAGCCTTTATTCTTTCTATATCTTTGCATATAGTAATTTACTTGTGAAAAATAAAAAGTTGAAACAAAAAACAAATTCCTGAAATTCCAGGGCTGCAATAATAATTACAAAAACCCCATCAACAACATGTATAGTATAATCACTCATACTGTACAGTACTGTGAGGGTTCTAGTTCTCCCCCTCTCCTGCATTTGGCCACAAGTTCTCATCAACATCACATCTTATTTCTTCTCTGGCGATGCATCTTGGAAAGTATCTTCTGGAATGTCTAATCCAGTCCTGGCAGTCTTCAGGAGAAGTGTCTCCACACCCCGCATTCATGGCATCCAGTAAGGACGTCTGGTCATGTGGATGGTGGTCATAAACCTTCCACCTCCACGCAGAGACAAACTCCTCTATGGGGTTTAGGAAGGGGGAGTATGGAGGCAGGAATAGTACTGACATTCTGGGATGTGCAGCAAACCAGTCTGTGACTGCAGCAGAGTGGTGGAATGCCACATTATCCCACACAACAACGAAGGTAGGGGAGTTTCTTGCCCCTCTCTCCTCCGCTGGCACAAGTCGATTACGCAGGTCATCCAGAAAAGAAATGAGCCTCTCTGTATTGTAGGGGCCAATGAGTGGTTTGTGTAACAGCAAACCATCATTGGACAGTGCTGCACACATTGTGATGTTAGCTCCTCTCTGGCCTGGGACATCCACGGTTGCTCTCTGTCCAATCACATTTCTTCCCCTGCTTCATCCTTATTTTATGTTTCTCTGGCAATTGTCGTTGTGCTGACCGTATTCACATTCCCAAAAGTGATATTGTCTGCCACCACTCTTTCCCGAATTTCCCGCAGTTCTATTGCATTGTTGCCAATTACCATGTCAACAATGGCAATTTCCTGCGCATCTGATAATATTCTGTCTCTCCCTCCGGTGGGAGGCAACCTTTGGATCCTACTGAAAAACACAAAACAATCAATGTTTCAAAATGTCAGTACATGTAAAAATGAGAACATACTGTATTGTACTGTAATTTGTAGTTCAATTATCATTGAAGGATGCACATCTCACCTGTTGATTTTCTGGAAAATTCGTACTATTGGTGCAACTGTTGAACGCTGAAGATTTGGTTGCATCCTTAAACCGGCCTCTCTCAAAGAGAGACCATGGTTTACAACATGGTCAATAATTGTGGCCCTTATCTCATCAGAGACCACCGCTCTTGGTCTTCCTCTCCTTTGTCCTCCACACGTTCTCCCTCTACCCTGCCACTCTTCTTTCCCCACCAACCTGTCTTCCTTGATCCATGTTTCCAAACTAAATCATTCCGAAGCCGTCCTCTTTCGTCTGTTTGGTAACGAGACTAAAAACAGGACACTTGGGTAGGCTTTCAGCTGAAATTGCAATCAGCTGTGTTTGGAATGATGAAATATTCTGCTGACATTTTCTATATGTTTCAATCTGGTTACTGCAGAAATGCACAACATTTGCCATCATTCTGTTTTGAATGTGTTTTTAACAGTTTTGGAAACTTAGCATTTGAAAACATGTGCTGCAAATATATAGTTTTGCAGGTGGTGGAGTATGAATGAGAAAAGAGTTCATGGATTTCGGAGAATGTGGTCATTGAATGCATTTTGTGTGAAAGCAATGAAAAATGATTCACAGTTTGGTCCACATACACTTCTGTTTTGCTGACTCTGTGAAGAGTTTTGACCATTTGACTTCAGTTTTGACCAATGCATGTTAGCAATTGAAAAAAAACTGTAACAGGTCTGCATGCTGTTAGTTGCTGCCGATCTGAGCTCTACCTGACAAGGATCAGGTGAAAAACAGCCTTGTCCTTCAGTCACAACAAGAAATAAGCTAATTTAACTGTGAATGTTCCAGGGGAGATTAATCATGGTGACGTTGCTGTTTTCTTCTTTGTTTTATTCACCCAGAACAGCACAGCTTTATAACTTGCATTTAAGATTCTTATGCAGATGTGGTGCTGTATGCCCAAGCACTACATCTGCTTCTCTGGGTAGAGTTCTGCTGCAGCCCACTAAGAGGGTACTGCTCACCCTGAGTCACATTCAGCATGCCCCTGCCCTGTCCATGTTATGGCTGACCGGTTCTGGGAACCATGCTAAGGGAGGAAACAAGATAGCGTCGTATCGCCCAAGGTTCCTCTATGTCATCCAGCATCATAGAGATTACTGTTATGGCCTTCAGGCACTCCGAAGAGAGATTGTGTGGGCCCTGGAACAGCGTTGTGTTTGTTGTGTGTGTGTGTGTGTGTGTGCCTGTGTGTGTGGGTCTATGTGTGTGCGTGTGTGTGTATGTGTGTGTGTGTGTGTGTGTGTGTGTGTGTGTGTGTGTGTTTGCCAGCTAATAACAGACAGTATGTCCCATGACTACATTATTATTTATTACACGCAGTCATGCAACTATAATGAAATAATGGTTCCACGTGAATTGGTCTGTTATTTGTGAATCTTTCCTAATGTATAGTTATTTCCCTCTCTACTCTAGAAGTAGTTGTAATCACAGTAGTGCTATAACATGGGCCCAACAACATAATCTGATATGATATTGGATGATATTATCATGATATTCAAATTCCTCTGTTTTCTCTCTCCTCAGGTTGTATCCTATTTGTTAGTGGCAGCCTGGTGGGAGGAGCCATGAGTGAGGGGGAGGGGCTCTTCCACAGCGTGCAGGTGGGTGACTCCACCTTCACTGTGCTGACCCGCTATCAGCAGCTCCGCGCCATCGGGTCTGGTGCCCAGGGCATTGTCTGGTGAGTGGGCATGGCGCTGCCACACTGTTATTTAAACTCCTCACATTCATCCTGCTGTTGCATTGACTGTGAACATGATGAGTCATTTCTTCAATAGACGATGGAATACTTTGTTCCTCTGTAATCAAGGTGTGGTGTCCTATTTTCATGGAAAGCAGTAATAACAGTGATAAATATGATGGCGTCTCCTCTCCTCCCACTCCTCTGTGTGTCTGTCTATGTAGCTCGGCCCTGGACAGTGTCCTTGGGGTCCCTGTGGCGGTGAAGAAACTGAGCCGGCCCTTCCAGAATCAGACCCATGCCAAGCGGGCCTACAGGGAGCTGGTGCTGCTCAAGTGCGTCAATCACAAAAATGTACGTCACTGTGGACATGCTCAGCTGATCTTTTAGCCCTCATCATTTTGGCGAATTCCTTTGTGTGTGACATCATCGACTCACTATACTGCGTGTGTGTGAAATGATTGATTTAGTCTTATTTCACCAAATGAGTGTCATGTTTCAGTCTCCTGATATACTGAGTTTCTTCTCCTTTCTAGATTATTAGGCTGCTGAATGTCTTCACACCACAGAATTCACTGGAGGAGTTCCAGGACCTGTAAGTCTGCTGCAGGCTCATACGTTTTTGCTTATCCTTCTATGGTAAGCAGTATTCTCCTCATGACTGCTGCGGGGCTGCACTGGCTCCTTCCTATGAGGGTCTGTTGCTTGAGAGAGAGGATGCAATGTAATCACAAGCTTAGTAGTGACCTTCAAAGCGCATACACATTTCATCACATTATTATACATAAAAAAGATCTACATTACCCTATAGCAGGAGACAGAGGAAATAACAGAGAAATAAGCTCAGAGTAATATATAGAGGGATACCTTAAAATGAAAGTTGAAATAGTTTTTTCGGAATAAAAGAGCTCATATTACGACCTCCATTATGTACAGGACCAGTCAAAGGTTTGGACACAGGGTTTTTCTTTATTTTACTATTTTCTACATTGTAGAATAATAGTGAAGACATCAAAACAATGAAATAACACATATGGAATCATGTAGTAACCAAAAAAGCATTTCAATTAACAGGTGTGCCTTGTTAAAAGTAAATTTGTGGAATTTATTTCCTTCTTAATGCATTTGAGCCAGTCAGTTGTGTTGTGGCAAGGTAGGGGGGTATACAGAAGATAGCCCTATTTGGTGAAAGACCAAGTCCGTATTATGGCAAGAACAGCTCAAATAAGCAAAGAGAAACGACAGTCCATCATTACATTAAGACATGAAGGTCAGTCAATCTGGAAATTTTCAAGAACTTTAAAAGTTTCTTCAAGTGCAGTCGCAAAAACCATCAAGCACTATGATGAAACTGGCTCTCATGAGGACCGCCACAGGAAAGGAAGACCCAGAGTTACCTCTGCTGCAGAGGATAAATTCATTAGAGTTAACTGCACCTCAGATTGCAGCCCAAATAAATGCTTCACAGAATTCAAGTAACAGAAACATCTCAACATCAACTGTTCAGAGGAGACTGCGTGAATCAGGCCTTCATGGTCAAATTGCTACAAAGAAACCACTACTAAAGGACACCAATAAGAAGAAGAGACTTGCTTGGGCCAAGAAACACGAGCAATGGACATTAGACCGGTGGAAATCTGTCCTTTGGTCCAAATTAGAGATTTTTGGTTCCAACCGCTGTGTCTTTGTGAGACGCGAAATAGGTGAACGGATGATCTCCGCATGTGTGGTTCCCACCGTGAAGCATGGAGGAGGAGGTGTGATGGTGTGGGGGTGCTTTGCTGGTGACACTGTCTGTGATTTATTTAGAATTCAAGGCACACTTAACCAGCATGGCTACCACAGCATTCTGTAGCGATACGCCATCCCATCTGGTTTGGGCTTAGTGGGACTATCATTTGTTTTTCAACAGGACAATGGCCCAAAACAAACCTATAGGCTGTGTAAGGGCTATTTGACCAAGAAGGAGAGTGATGGAGTGCCGCATCAGATGACCTTGCCTCCACAATCACCTGACCTCAACCGTATTGAGATGGTTTGGGATGAGTTGGAACGCAGAGTGAAGGAAAAGCAGCCAACAAGTGCTTAGCATATGTGGGAACTCCTTCAAGACTGTTGGAAAAGCATTCCTCATTAAGCTGGTTGAGAGAATGCCAAGAGTGTGCAAAGCTGTCATCAAGGCAAAGGGTGGCTACTTTGAAGAATCTCAAATATAATATGTATTTTGATTTGTTCAACACTTTTTGGGTTACTACATGATTCCATATGTGTTATTTCATAGTTTTGATGTCTTCACTATTATTCTACAATGTAGAAAATAGTTTAAAATATAAAGAAAAACCCTTGAATGAGTAGGTGTTCTAAAACTTTTGACTGGTACTGTATATGTTAGAAAACTCTAGATGTCAGTGGGCGGGGCTACATAATAGGGGGGTCATGGTTGGCTGGACCAGATGTAAGTACTGGGATCTAAGGAGTGGTTGTCCCATGGAGTTAGAAAGAGGACTCTAGGTGGATATAAGTGGTTTTAGCATGGACTTTGATGGGGAGTGGGGCTGACCCCATTTAGTCGACTGGTCGATTGTTTAGTTGATAGGCTGTTGGTCGACCAACATTTTTTTAGTCGAGCACACGAGACACCTGTCTGATTTGCGCCTGTGTCTCAGTGGACTAATCCATTGAGGAGGCGGCAGGGATGCCACGGTCCAAGAATAAGGGGAGTGTGGCTAAGATGCACAAGGCACGTCTCTCTCTCCAGAATGCACTCTCCCACCATTTCGTGCGTATTTATTGTTTCATAACTTCATTGTGTGCATTGTTTGCTGTGTCTATCAATTCCCCATTACATATATCACCAGTAGTAGCCTACGTTTACCGTTAATTCCCATAATTTCTAATCTGTAATGTTTGTTTGGTTACGGTAATTTCTGTTAGGCTAATGCATTCAACATATTATTATTACAGTCGTTTACTGTTCTCATTGCAGAGCTCACGACCTATGCTACTCTTGTGAGAAACACGTTTTTGTTTATTACATTCCATATAGGAGTTTTGTAAATGTATTGATTGTCTTTTGTTTGAAACACTACTGTCAATGTTGAGTAAGGACACATACCTGATTACGCATACAGAAGTAGGCCTAGGCTACCTGGCCTGATTGGTCTGATTAGTTTAATTCCAGCTCTCTCCCTTTCGATAACCACTCGGCATGAAAGCGAAAAATGTAATGCTCTGATCCAGTGGAAACGTCATAAAATACATGTTTACTTCTTATTCCTTGCACAAATAGTGTACAACTGTGTCTGGCCCGAGCTCACTGGCGGGGGAAACTCTTTGAGGGTCCAGAATATTTTATCTAATGTTGCGAGTTTGCTAGCGCGAGTTTCGGGCTGATCAAGTTGATAGTTGTAATGTTGTAAGTTTGTTGCAAACAGGTGATGCGTAGCCAATGTGATTTATAGGATATTTATTTTTATCAGGATATTTTCTAACTGCAGGCTGCAAAGTCTTTATTTGTTGGCTTTATGTAGGCTATTTTTTACATAGTTGGCAATGGCAATAAAAGTAACTTTTAGATTTGTATAATTTTCATTTAGATTGAGTTAGTATGTAGATTAACCACAGACAATGATTTTGAGATACAAAGTATATATAAATGAAATTAAACTGTTCCACGAAAATGTGCATATGAAAATCATAACTGGCACGCAGATCGGTAGAAATGGTAAGATAAATTGGCACTCCAAATGGACCGCTGGTGTAGCCTATTACCGGAAACTTCAGGAGCATAACGGCAGAATCTGCAAAGGCCAGCAGGAGGAGGGTCGGGAACCAGTTATTTTCTTATTTTTAGGCTATCGTGATCTCTGGCTCCCTCTTGAGTCATTTGTGTATCTTAATTATTTAATCAAACTGTGTGCTTAAAGCAAGTTCAGTACATATACAGTAGTTGATTTTATTAAAACACATATGGTGTGTATATATGGAAAAATACACGTTTTACAATTTCGACCAATCGATTGAAAAGATTAGAAAAGACGACTCTTGGTCAACCAACATTTTTGTTTAGTCGGGACAGCCCTAATGGGGAGGTCGATCTAACTCTATGGGTGGTTTCCCTCTGTCTGTCTGCCAGCTACCTGGTGATGGAACTGATGGATGCCAGTCTGTGCCAGGTCATCCACATGGACCTGGACCATGAGAGGATGTCCTACCTGCTCTACCAGATCCTCTGTGGCATCAGACACCTGCACTCTGCTGGCATCATCCACAGGGTCAGTCATTGGCTGATCGTGAATATGTGTTGTATGCAGAGTGATAACATAAGCCATGTAGGACATTACATTTAAGGACATCTACTGTACTTTCCTAACATGTTGATTTGAGTGTGTAATCCATCATCACCATCACTACCATCATCACCATCATAACCATCATCACCACCATCATCACCACCACCACCACATTTACATTTTAGTCATTTAGCAGACGCTCTTATCCAGAGCGACTTACAGGAGCAATTAGGGTTAAGTGCCTTGCTTAAGGGCACATCGACAGATTTTTCACCTAGTCGGCTCGGGGATTAGAACCAGCGACTTTTCGGTTACTGGCACAACGCTCTTACCCACTAAGCTACCTGCCGCCCCATCATCACCATCATAACCATCACCACCATCATCATCATCACCCCACCATCATAACCATCACCACCATCATCATCACCACCATCACCATCATAACCATCATCATCATCATCATCATCATCAACACCATCAACTTATTCACTTTGTTTGTATCTTCTCCAGGACCTGAAGCCCAGTAACATAGTGGTGAAGTCTGACTGTACTCTGAAGATCCTGGACTTTGGGCTGGCCAGAACAGCCTGCACTAACTTCATGATGACCCCTTACGTTGTGACCCGATACTACAGAGCACCAGAAGTCATCCTGGGCATGAAGTACAAAGAGAATGGTAAGAAATGCTCAAGGATGTTACCTTCTATTCTCAATCTCACCAACAGGATAAAACACTATTAGTTACTTGATTATAAATGTCTATCTTGCACTGTTGATAATCTATGGCTGTTCTCCTTTTACCAGCAGCAAGGGTCCACATATGGCTGGTTATGGTGCTGTGTGAGATGAATGTGTGTGTGAGATGAATGTGTGTGATGTGTGTGTAACCTCTATGTTTGTTTTCCTCCAAGTGGACATCTGGTCAGTGGGATGCATCATGGGAGAGATGGTGAAGGGTAGCGTTATATTCCAGGGCACGGATCGTATCCTTACCCAGTCAATCTATAACTCCCTATATGCTGTCTTTACATCTATAATATGACCATTGTGTAAGTCGCTCTGGATAAGAGCATCTGCTAAATGACTAAAATGTAAATGTAATGTGTCTGTGTGTTTAAACTGTATTTGGGTCACTATTAGAGATGTTGTATAATGTGTCTGCCAGGTTGACCTCCCCATCACAAGGTCAGGCATGTCAGGATGTCCTTCCTTTCTTTCCACATTCAATTGAAACAACAACATCAGCTAGCTACTTCCTTAGCTTACATGCATTTAATTCAAAGTGATGAATTGATGGTCCGTACTAACTGGAAATAGACTTGAAAAGTCTGAATCCTAACTGCTAAAGCCTCTTGCTACTGCTGTGTATGGTGCAATATTCAATATCCCATATGTTCCTGAACCTCCCATGAGGTATAACTAGGTGTTTTGCATTAGTTTGTATGTGTGTCCTGAACCAGCTCCGTATCAGACATTGACCAGTGGAACAAGGTGATTGAGGTTCTGGGCACGCCCCCCATGGAGTTTATGAACCGTTTGATGGAGACTGTGAGGAACTATGTGATGAACAAGCCCCAGTACCCAGGGGTCAGCTTCTCTCAACTCTTCCCTGACTGGGCCTTCCCGGCAGAGACAGAGCAGGATCAACTCAAGAGTAAGACTTATACCACCTACAGATGTCTACACAGATCTCTCTCTCTCTCTCTCTCTCTCTCCTCTCTCTCTCTCTCTCCTCTCTCTCCTCTCTCCCTCTCTCCTCTCTCTCTCTCTCTCTCCTCTCTCTCCTCTCTCTCCTCTCTCTCCTCTCTCTCTCTCTCTCTCTCTCTCTCTCGCTCACTTTTCATTGATGAGCACCTTCCTATCTGATGTGGACATGACATTGGCAGCTTTTCTGCCTTCTTATCACTGCAGCCAGTCAAGCGCGGGACCTGCTGTCCAAGATGCTGGTGATTGACCCAGAGAGCCGTATTTCAGTGGAGGACGCCCTGGACCACCCCTACATCCACATGTGGTATGACCCAGGAGAGGCTGATGCGGTGAGTCTGGCTGTAATATAATAATAAGATATGCCATTTAACAGACTATCATGCATGCGTACATTTGTTATGTATGGGTGGTCCTGGGAATCAAACCCACTATCCTGGCATGGCAAGAGCCATGCTTTACCAACTGAGCTACAGCGCATATCAACATACTTCAGTCAGAAGCATATAAGATAGGAAGGTGCTCATCACTGAAAAGTTAAAATGAGAGAGAGAGAGAGAGAGAGAGAGAGAGAGATAGAGAGAGAGAGAGAGAGATAGAGAGAGAGAGAGTGATGAGACTATCCTATCCAACGTGGATCTGAAGAACTGTAAATATCCTATCACTGTGATTCTGAAGAAATGTAATATCCTATGTATTTCTCCGCGTAGTGGCTGAACAAGACAGGTAATATTTAAATCTAGGGTTTTTATGACATGGCAACCCGGAAAGGTGGCGTCGGGGGAAGCCAGGGGAAAGGGGTTGTTCTCTTGTAAACAACAGCATGGTGTGCAATCTCTAATATTAAGGAAGTGCAGGAAAACTGAAATCCGTTCTACCAGCATGTCACCTGTGCAACTAGAGGCGAAAAAACTCTAGATGATCTTTACTCCACACACAGAGACGTATATAAGAAGCGGATGCTAAGCTACAGGAGTGTTTTGCTACCAACAGACTGGAATATGTTCCGGGATTCATCCGATGGCATTGAGGAGTATACCACATCAGTCACCAAGCTTCATCGATAAGTGCATCGATGACGTTGTCCCCACAGTGACCGTACGTACATATCCCAACCAGACGCCATGGATTACTGGCAACATCCACACTGAGATAAAGGCTAGAGATGCCGCTTTCAAGGAGCAGGACAATAATCCGGACGTTTATAACAAATCCCTCTATGCCCTCAGACGAACCATCAAACAGGCAAAGCATCAATACAGGACCAAGATCGAATCCAACTACACCGGCTCTTACACTCGTCGGATGTTCCAGGGCTTGCAAACCATCACAGATTACAAAGGGAAACCCAGTCGCGAGCTGTCCAGTGACGAACTAAATACCTTCTATGCTCGCTTCAAGGCTAGCAACACTGAACCATGCATGAGAGCACCAGCTGACTGTGTGATCACGCTCTCCGTAGCCGATGTGAGTAAGACTTTTAAACAAGTTAACAATCACAACCGCAGGGCCAGACGGATTAGCAGGACGCGTACTCAGAGCATGCGCTGACCTGCTGGCAAGTGTCTTCACTGACATTGTCAAACTCTCCCTGACCCAGTCTGTAATATCCTACATATTTCAAGCAGACCACCATAGTCCCTGTGCCCAAGAATGCCAAGGTAACCTGTCTAAATGACTATCGCCCGTAGCACTCACATCTGTAGCCATGGAATGTTTTGAAAGGCTGGTTATGGCTCACATCAACACCATCATCCCAGACACAATGGACCCACTCCAATTCATATACCGCCCCAACAGATCCACAGATGACGCAATCTCTATTGCACTCCACACTGCTCTTTCCCACTTGGACAAAAGGAACATCAACGTGAGAATTCTGTTCACTAACTACAACACAGCGTTCAACACCATAGTGCTCTCCAAGCTCATCACTAAACTAAAGACCCTGAGATTTAACACATCCCTCTGCAACTGGATCCTGGACTTCCTGACGGGCCGCCCCAGGTGGTAAGGGTAGGAAACAACCCCTCCGCCACGCTGACCCTCAACACAGGGCCCCTCGGGTGCGTGCTTAGTCCCCTCCTGTACTCCCTGATCACCCACGACTGCGTGGCCAAGCACTACTCCAACACCATCATTTATGTTTGCAGGTGACACGACGGTGGTAGGCCTGATCACAGACGATGATGAGACAGCCTACAGGGAGGAGGTCAGAGACCTGGCAGTGTGGTGCCAGGACAACAACCTCTCCCTCACCGTAAGCAAGGAAAATGAGCTAATTGTGGACTACAGGAAATGGAGGGCCGAGCAGTGGAGCGGGTCGAGAGCTTCAAGTTCCTCGGTGTCCACATCACTAAGGATCTATCATGGTCCAAACACACCAACACAGTCGTGAAGAGGGCACAACAACGCCTCTTCCCCGTCAGGAGGCTGAAAAGATTTGGCATGGGCACTCAGATCCTCAAGAAGTTCTACAGCTGTACAATTGACAGTATCTTGACTGGCTGCATCACCGCTTGGAATGGCAACTGCTTGACATCCGACTGCAAGGTGCTACAGAGGGTAGTGCGTACGGCCTAGTACATCACTGGGGCCAAGTTACCTGCCATCCAAGACTTCTATACCAGGCGGTGTCAGAAGAAGGCCCTAAAAATTGTCAAAGACTCCAGCCACCCAAGTCATAGACTGTTCCCTCTGCTACCACACGGCAAGCGGTACCGATGCACCAAGTCGGGAACCAACAGGACCCTGAACAGCTTTTACCCCCAAGCCATAAGACTGCTAAATAGTTAGTCTGGATAGCTATTTGGTTAACTATTTAACTATCGGCATTGACCCTTTTTGCACTAACTCTTTTGACTCATCACATATGCTGCTGCTACTGTTTATTATCTATCCTGTTGCCTAGTCACTTTATCTCTACCTATATGTACACCTCTACCTCAATTACCTCGTACCCCTGCACATCCTTACTCATTGTGTATTTATTCCTTGTGTTATTCTATTTTTATTTTTCTATTATTTCAACAACAACAACAAAAGTTATCTGCATTGTTGGGAAGCATTTCACTGTTAGTCTACACCTGTTGTTTATGTACAATTTGATTTGCTATCCCTCTGTTTGTGTCAACTGCTTCACAAATGTAACACTCGTTTGGGCTCACACGGTCCAACTGTCTATAACTGTCTGCGTATGCTGTGATTCCATCTGTAGCCACCACCACAGATATCTGATAAACAGCTGGAGGAGCGAGAACACAGCATCGAACAGTGGAAAGGTATGACAACTCTTTTGTTACCTTTTTACCTTACTGTCCCTTCCCCCACAGCCATTATAGAGCTTCTGCTATCTATAATAATAATAATAATAATATGCCATTTCGCAGACGCTTTTATCCAAAGCGACTTACAGTCATGTGTGCATACATTTTTTACGTATGGGTGGTCCCGGGGATCGAACCCACTACCCTGCCGTTACAAGCGCCGTGCTCTACCAATTGAGCTACAAGGATGGTTTATGTGTGGCAAAGAATACAGTACTTGTTCTGGCAGCTGATAGTCTGCCTTCCATCAGCCCATAGCCTGCCTTCCATCAGCCCATAGCCTGCCTTCTATCAGCCCATAGTCTGCCTTCCATCAGCCCATAGCCTGCCTTCCATCAGCCCATAGTCTGCCTTCCATAAGCCCATAGCCTGCCTTCCATCAGCCCATAGTCTGCCTTCCATAAGCCCATAGCCTGCCTTCCATCAGCCCATAACCTGCCTTCTATCAGCCCATAGTCTGCCTTCAATCAGCCCATAGCCTGCCATCTATCAGCCCATAACCTGCCTTCCATCAGCCCATATCCTGCCTTCCATCAGCCCATAACCTGCCTTCCATCAGCCCATAGCCTGCCTTCCGTCAGCCCATAGCCTGCCTTCCGTCAGCCCATAACCTGCCTTCTATCAGCCCATAACCTGCCTTCCATCAGCCCATAGTCTGCCTTCCATCAGCCCATAACCTGCCTAGCCCATAGCCTGCCTTCATCCGTGAGTCAGACACCTCTCG